TAATGGTTTATGACATATAGTATATTTGGCATACTAATGAAAATATTTATCGTTTCCTCAACAAAAACAAAACAAATCTTATTCATTTAAATGTAATGCAGAGGATGGTTTCATTTATGATGGTGATTAGTTAATAAAACATTTCAATAATTACAAACAAATGATAATGTTAGACAAGCTGACATTTCAAACAGAAGGTAATTGAATTCATAAACAACATAGTAACAAACATTGATCATGATAAATTATTATAAAAATCTAATATAAAAATGAACTGTATTGTTTAAAATAGCTATCTAAACAATTAAAGTTATAAAAACACGAAGTTCAGCGAAGGGATCTCTTATCAACGAATTTATTATCAACCTGTACAATCGTATATATATATATATATATATATATATATATATATATATATATATGATTGCACAGCTTGATGATAAATTCGTTTAAAAAAGATCCCTTCGCTGAACTTAGGGTTTGTGATTTTTAATGTTTGAATGGGAATTATTTGTCAATTGAAGTTATATCTTTTAAACATCATATTAGAAGAAGAGATATATGAATGGAATATATAATATGCGCTTCTAGATTTGATGTAATAATTAAAAAAATTTCGATAATTTTGAAAGGATGTAAGTAACTTTTTTCTACTATTACTATTTATTCTAAATGTAATGAAAAAAAATAGTAGATTCAACTGTAGAAATTGATTAGAAATTAAATAATTGAAGGCCATGGGTTTGAATTCCGCGAGCAGGATCGTGGAGGTGCACTGCTGAGGGGTCCCACAATAGGACGAAACGGCCGTCCAGTGCTTCCAGGTCTAACATCAATCGGTTCATGATCTCAATCAAAAACTTGACAATCTCCACAAACCCTAAACTGATAATTATTTTATACTTATTTGAGTCTCAGAGTGAACATTAACTCTGAGATGCAGGTTATTTCAACTGATGAGTGCTAAATAAAACGAAATGAATGTCCTGTATTATCGATTGTCAGTTGTGAAGAAATTTGAATAACTCACTTCTTACTGAATTATGTTCTGATAATATAGAAAAAAGATAATAAACGCTTCGTAATTAAACTATTCAATTCAAATAATAAAACACTTTGAAATTCTTCCATCCTCAACTACAAATATTCTTCATCATTCACTTATCTTTCGATAGGATCTAAACGATTGTACAAGGTAACAGCTTATGAACTGGTCAAGTATGTTCTAGATCAAAATGTAGCAATGATTCTACTGTAGTTATCTATTGTCATACGCAATAAGATTTACTACACAGCCAATAACATAGTGATCATCTAGGAAGATTCAAGTAAACAATACCAAATGAATTCATTGACGTAGATGTTTCATATTTTTATCGAAAAAAAAGAAAATTAAGTACCATTTAGTAGATTTATATTTGGCTATAATAATTTAATCATTCACGCTTATTTATTTATAGAAGTAAACTTCGAAGCTGTTTTGTCACATTACGACTGCCTAATAAGGCATTTTTAATCGAAAAAAAAAATGTTTTAGAAGTCAAATGACTAGTTACTAATCAATACTGCCAGTTATTCTTCAGGCTACTATACGTAGTTGAATTTTACTATATTTCATAATAATAATAAAAAAATCTTTAAGAAGAAACAATTAATTGACATTCAATTCTCAGTGAAATACACTAAGAATTGAATTGTTAAATAAGAAATGATTAACAACCCTATTGAATTATGCTTGTTACGATATGATACAAGGAAATAAATCATCGAAAAAATTAAGCGAAACATTTTATGACAAAATAGATGAGAGAATATATTTTTTATAGAAAAAAATAGAGTATATTTCAAATCAGAATCGAAAGAATACAAATTTCATCTCATCTGTGTTGTAAATCTTATTGTGTATGACAATAGATAACTACACTAGAATCATTGCTACATTTTGATCTAGAACATACTTGACCAGTTCATAAGCTGTTACCTTGTACAATCGTTTAGATCCTATCGAAAGATAAATGAATGATGAAGAATATTTGTAGTTGAGGATGGAAGAATTTCAAAGTGTTTTGTTATTTGAATTGTATAGTTTAATTACGAAGCGTTTATTATCTTTTTTCTATATTACCAGAACATGATTCAGTAAGAAGTGAGTTATTTAAATTTCTCCACAATTGAAAATCAACATTATCCATGACAAACGGAAAGAAACCAAACATCAACCATAAAATCAGTTGCAGCAGCTGTGCGAACCACTAAATAGAAAAAGGTGACCACCTGACCTGAGCATCAACTAACAGTTAAACGTCATGACATAATTTTTCTTATGTCAATCCATGTGAACAACTATGGATGTTATTTAGATTGAGAAAATGTCAAAATAATAGACAGAGCAAAGAAAAAAATGCCAGAGAACTGTTAGAAGCTTGACACTCTGATCATGCAACAGTCAATAGATATATTGGAACCTACTCAATCTATTAACCAATGAGGGAAAAGATAAACAACTCTAAGGTGAGATATAAAAACAGTCAATGTAAACATGCAAACAATGGCCACACACCTGATAGACTAAAAGAAACGAAATTCTAGAACAATAGAATAATCACTTCGATAAACAAATAACTGCCCTTCAATATGTAACACCGTTTCATCAACTGACTACCTCTCCATCTCTTTTACCCAACCGGTGTTGGAAAATAAAACACACAGTATGAAATTAGCAGGGAAGAAAGACATGGGTAAAATAAAATCAGGATAACAAATTAGCAGTTCAATAATGAAAACGTTAATTGATTATACTTAAATAGATTATTGAATCTTAGAAGTACATTACAGAGCTCTGAAATTGTTAAAAGGAGCCGATGATCAGACACAGAACCAATGAGCATCAACAAATCAGTTTAAATTATACAAACGTGTAACAAAGTACACATGACGATGCGTATTACACTAGGGTAAATAAACTCCATTGCTCCCAAATGCCCTGGTACGGCCGAGAGTCCGCTCTCCCCCTCGAAATGCTCTCACATGGCCACGCGTATATAGCCTCTACCAGGGAAGTCCTACTCACTGCCTTCACGTGGCGGGTGTTGTTTACGAAATTGAGAGGACGAAAAGCGAACATCCGGTGCTTTAACCGGATCGCAAATCAATGGTGCATATGGGCCCCAGTATCCTGAGAGAACAAATGGCGTATGAACTAATTGTTGGTCGCCGGCTACCATGGAACTGCATCTCCTCACGATGTTCCACTGCCTTGTGGATCAAACTTTTAGGTCGAAGGCTCCGGGTGTGGCCCGCTATTTATTTATTTTAACACATAGGTATTGGTACAAGGAGGCACCAAATACATATGCGCCACACGAATCTCAATTGATTTGTGTGAGGGCTGTGATACTGCCTGGGTGCCCAAACCAAAGGTGTTATTCTTAGGGGGCCCTGCTTCGGTTTGGACACCCAGGCAGTATCACAGCCCTCACACAAAGCAAATGATATTTGTGTGGCGCATATGTATTTGGTGCCTCCTTGTACCAATACCTATGTGTTAAAATAATAATAAACTCCATTAACAGAAGTATCTATACTTGACTACGTTAATTAAAGTGAATTAATTCAATTCCTTGTAAATACCGAATAACTTAATAAATAACCACTGATAAATATTTAATTTATTGAAATTCCAAAGTCTACACTAGAATATTCCTTCTTTTTAATTCACTTAGTGAATATTTCCAATTAGGTTATGTTTACATTTCTAACAATACGGTAAATTGAAATAAACATTTAAAACTGGTCATCATTTGGCACAGTAACCATCATGAACAATTCTTATCATATGACTTTTAAATGTACAAGTTTTATTATAAACGTTATTATTTAGGATACATTTTCAAAGTATTTCTATGACAGTCTACATTATTGTTAAAATTATTATCACTATTAATATATATATATATATATATATATATATATATATATATATATATATATATATATATATGAAAATGAGTGATTGTTTTCAAATTCTCTAAACTACTAAGTACGATTAGAAATCAGTCAACTGGCTAGAAACTGTTAACATAAAACTTTATAGTTCTAATTAAAATAATCATAGTCGTTTCATCTAAAGGAAATAAAAGAAAATAGTAGAATTGTGAGTAGTAGTTTTGGGAATAATACAACTAGGTATGAAAGTAATTTTAATTCGCATGACAATATCTAATTAGATTATTGATATTAATAGAATTGAACTTGATTGATGTAATCCAAAGAACCTAACTATAAGTTTTTAAGCTTTCAATCATTAATTGTTGTAGGGCTTAAGGTCAAGTATACGAACAAATACTTCGCTTTTAAGCTTCGGCGTTTATTATGATCTCAGAAATTACATATATACAACCACTGCTTATTTTACAAACTCATACTAGCTACAATGAAAGACAAAAGGTATATGAGTGGTCAAGCTATAACCGAATACTTGTCAAATGGACAACTGTAGTCTAACAAAACTAAATACCACATGAGTAAGAATTTAATTGCATTCTAAATTAATTCGTTTACTTGATACTTGGATGTGAACCAAACTACGCGTTTGCACAAACCGAAGTAAGAAGTGAGGGCCTCGAACACGAGACTTAGTGGCTGAAAGTCGGAAGTCTTAGTCACTAAGCAACGGCTTCACGATTTAAATTATATGCTTATTGATGATTGAACAGGAAAAGTTGTCCGGATTTTGTTTATAACACAAATGTTTTTCAAATTTTATTGCTTTCTATTGTGACGAACCAATAATTTCTTGACTTCATTATGATAGGGATAAACTGAATTACAGTAATTTCAATGGAACTATTCTAACAGCTAAGGACTTTTCAGTTTAGAATTAAACTAAAGGCTAAAAATGAACAAAGTACTGGAATATATTCCAGAACAGATATATAACTAGAGATCGATTAACTTGCAATCAAACTACTACTTGCCATAATATCTAAATAACAAGAATCGAAAGGCATAAAATAATAAATTATTTCATTCAGCAAAGGAAACAAATTTATTACATAATTTACTGATTTCACAAACACATAGTACGAAAAAGAAATTGAAGAATATAAAGAGAAGCATACATCACACTAGAATTTTTCAGTCATTACTAAACTATAGCACAAAATTTAATTATGATTAACCTTCTCAGCTATAACACATACAATTAATCAATGATCAAGTAGGTGTAAAAATATACGAGCAAAAGAATGTAACGAATAAAAAAACGAAGTAGAAGAAAAAAAGATACATATTTAAGCCTATCCACAAGTAATTTAATGTAAAGGTAAATAAAGACAGGAAGAAAAGTGATGAAGTCCTCAGACAAATTGGTTCCAGTTGCTTTCCGTATCCATAAATTAGGAAAAAAACACAAAAAGTCACTGTTCTTTAAAAAAACGAACATCAAGTAAAAATATGGATGTTTAGAGAAAAATAAAGAAAAAACTGAATACAACAACGATCATGTGTCTGATCACCTAATGAATTACAACTAATCATCATTACAATCGGAATAACCATAGTAGAAAACAATAAGCATTTTAGACTAATAGTATTACAGTAGGAAAGCTTTTTAAACATCCCGTTAAATCTCTCATATAACAAACATGTGAAATAGACATTTTAAAACTGTTCATAAAAAAAACTCAAGGCACTTTTGGAGAGATGATCAATAGAATGCAGTATATTTTCAGTCAGTATGTGAAACTGACTTATCTTTTTTCGTATACAACTACTTAAACATTTCAATTTACCGTGTGTATAATGGTTATATAATTGAATATAAACAACCATAAGGAATTCTGAATGAGCATACTTCAGTAAATATTGATAGATTGCAAAAAAAAATATTATTTACAACAGAAAACATACCAGAAATATAAAGTAACATTGTAGACTAAATTCACCTATGCAATACTAGATATGTTCTCTTTCATTCAACTTTACTCAAATAAAGAAAGTGTATAATTCAATATCAATTATTGTTTTAATAAATTATAAATATAACTAATTTCACAAGTGGCAGTAATCACCAGGTGCGCCGAAAACATTGCACATACTTTTCACAAAACTGTCCACACACACAGAGAGATAATATAAACCCAATAGTAAATATTACAACAAATCCCAAATTATCAAATATATGACAAATCATTAAGGAAACGAGAGGATAGATAAAATGAAGAAATTATTAATTTCGGTTCTCTTTTTTTTATACTTTTTCCTACCTGACTACAAATTTTCAAAACACTAGTTGAAAGAAAATTGTAAGTGAAATTAACACGATAAAGAAAGAAAGCAACAAACAGAAAAGTTCAAAAACAGAGGAACAGAAAAAAAAACATATAGGTAGAAAAATTCGTATTTATATTGCAGTTTCATATTAATTATTATCATCAGCATTACTACTATCAATTTGATCATGATTGGCTTGTCCATTTAATTCCTTATGTATACCATTGGATAAAACAATGTAACCACTGTCATTCGACGATATTTCATGTTGAGGAACACAATCTGGAATTTTCGATATTACATTAAAGCAATTGTTCGATTGTTCAGATTTGACATCATCAGTTTCTCGTAGACCATCTTTTGGATGGTTATGCAGAGAATTAGTTTTCATATTGGTATAATGATCATCACCAGAATTGTTATGATGATTTACGGCATTTTCTATAGTTCCTGTAGGACTATTGATTAAGCGCTGAAAAAATAGAAAATACAAAGGCAATGTGACAATATGTACACGATCAGGAACAAATATATAGAGGATCAAAAATAAATAGTATAGTGAACTAGCGATGTACCCCGTACAAATAGACTTACTATTAATAACTTTGTGGTGTTACATAATTACAAAATCAGGTGATGTCACGTTCAAATTCAGGAGATCGACATTGATGACGGATTTGAGTTAGTTATCCGGACTGAAGCATTAACAGTTTAGTTTAAGCACTTAATTTCTAACCAATATGCTGCAACCTTAAATATTATAAACGAACTATGATTCAGTTAGTTTAGTGGTAAAAGATGTTCCACCAAAAAGTGTGACGAAAATTCAAATTTCCTATCACTATGGAGCTGGGAAGATTGTTGAATTTCACTGAAATCGTAAGCCTATCTAAGTAAGATCGACACTAAAAAACTGGGTGGCTGTTTTGTCCTAGTATGGGATTTCCAAGTAGGGTGCATCCATTGTTCGACTCAGATGCATAGTACACAAGGCTAGAGTTGGGGCAGAAATGACTGATTGAATTCCTAATAACAGTCGATTATACACTATCAGATTTGAGAGCTCCATCAAAATAAGAAAGAAATTACACGGGAAACGCTGTCTTGTTATCTCCACCTACGTCTGAACAGACAAACGATCACAAAACCGTATATATATATATATATATATATATTAGTAGTGCTAGATGGAGATTTGAACAACGATAAATTAGTTGTGTCTTTATTTGAAACGCTGGGTTCAGTGATTTGGGCATGTACAAGAAATGTTATCATAGAGACTTCCACATAGTGCTTTATTAGGACTCTAAAATAGTTGAAAGCAGAGAGGTAATAGTCAGTTTATAAAACGAAGACGTGGTAGGAAATAAAGATGTACAGGAAAAGAATTTGTCGGTTTATTGAAACTCTAGTTCGAATCTTATAGATAGTGTAATTCATTGGCTTGAGACGTTATCAGACATAGTTCTAATGATTCTTACGCACTCCCCCAATTTTTTTGCCCTTATTTATGTGGTGCATATTAATTTTATTGTCCATTTGTAACATTGAGTCACAAATAAATAAACTAGTAGAGCGGGAAAGCAGCAGGGCCTGACAATAGACCAGCTGAAGCGTTGAAGTCAGACATCGAAGTAACTACAAGCATGCTTCATCTTCTATTCAAGAAGATTTGGCAGGAGGAACAAGTGCCGATGGATTGGAAAGAAGGACACCTCATCAAGATTCCAAAGAAAGGAGATCTGAGCAAGTGTGAAAACTACAGAGGCATTACACTACTGTCAATACCAGGTAAAGTCTTCAATAGAGTTTTACTGAACAGGATGAAAGACGCAGTAGACGCTCAACTTCGAGATCAACAAGCTGGATTCCGTAAGGACCGGTCATGCACAGACCAGATTGCGACACTACGGATCATCGTCGAACAATCAATTGAGTGGAACTCGTCATTGTACATCAACTTCATTGATTATGAGAAGGCATTTGACAGTGTAGATAGGAGGACGTTATGGAAACTTCTTCGACACTACGGAGTTCCTGAGAAGATTGTCAACATTATCCGGAACTCATACGATGGACTACAGTGCAAAGTAGTGCATGGAGGACAGCTGACTCACGCATTCCAAGTAAGGACCGGAGTAAGACAAGGCTGTCTACTCTCTCCCTTCCTGTTTCTTCTGGTGGTCGACTGGATTATGAAGACCTCGACATCTGAGGGAAACTACGGCATACGATGGACAGCTCAGAACCAATTAGACGACTTGGACTTCGCAGATGACCTAGCCCTCCTATCACATACACACGAACAAATGCAGATAAAGACAGTCAGCATAGCAGCAGTCTCTGCATCAGTAGGCCTCAACATACACAAAGGGAAAACCAAGGTCCTCAAACACAACACGGAGAACAGCAATCCAATCACTCTTGATGGCGAAACTCTGGAAGACGTGGAATCCTTCACATACCTGGGAAGCATCGTCGATAAACAAGGAGGTTCAGATGCAGACGTCAAGGCGGCATTCCTTCAACTGAAGAACATATGGAACTCAAAACAACTTTCAACCAATATCAAAGTCAGAATCTTCAATACCAACGTCAAGGCAGTTCTACTGTACGGAGCTGAAACTTGGAAAACTACAACAACCACCATCAAGAAGGTACAGGTATTTATTAATAGCTGTCTACGCATGATACTCAACATCCATTGACCGGATACCATCAGCAACAGCCTTTTGTGGGAGAGAACCAACCAGCTTCCAGCTGAAGAGGAAATTAGGAAAAGACGATGGAAATGGATAGGACATACATTGAGGAAATCATCAAACTGCATTACGAGACAAACGCTAACTTGGAATCCTGAAGGGAAGCGGAAAAGAGGAAGGCCAAAGAACACATTACGTCGGGAAATAGAAGCAGATATGAAAAAGATGAATAAGAACTGGAAAGAGCTTGAAAGGATTGCCCAGGACAGGGTTGGATGGAGAATGCTGGTGAGCGGCCTATGCTCCTTCACGAGGAGTAACAGGCGTAAGTAAGTAAGTAAGAAAATGGAAACACCCTTTAACTATCGAGATCTATTAAATCTAATCTGTCTAACATCTTAATAATAATAATACAACCAGGAAAGTTACCGTGTTCTCGTCTGAACAATTATTATTTGAATAATTATAATTCTGATCATCGTGTGAGTCGGTGTCGTTTAATTTCGTTCTTAACTCAGCTGATAATGATTGTTCTTGTTTCAATGCATTACGTTCCACTTCAACAAGATTACGTAATTTAGCAACTAAGCGTATCAATTCGGATTTGGACATGTTTTGTTCATCAGTATCATCAGTTGTCGCTGATGTTGATAATGGCGAGGACGGTGATGGTGAAATGGATGACGAATTGTTCAACTTCTTTTCTGTACTGATGGATGCTGTCAGAGAATTATCAGTCGAAGTTTCAACCAGATTACAACTATTAAACTCCCTGTTTTTACGAAGCTGATAATGAGGAAAAGGAATAAAACTGATGTAGACTATCAATATTTATCATTCAATAAACAAAGATTTTTTCATCAAAACAATTAAATATAGAAAGTTAGAATTTCAAATTACTAGTTAATTTTTGAATAGCCTGATGAGAAATCTGTTCAACGATTTATTTAATAACTGATTTTTTAGGAATACTTAAAGGTAACAGCTATGATACTGGTTCGATAAAAAATGGTAATGAGACCAGCTACAATTAATTAGATAGTGATATTCAAGAACTGTGTTCATTATGAACTACACATACTGAAGTCTGCTTACCAGTGCTCACTAGTGTATTTTAACTTAACAAAGTGATCTACCGATATAAAGGAAAACAAATGTTGAGATTTACCAAAGAAAGTTATGGACGACCTTCGAAAAACGCTAGAGTGACTTTGAGACAACTCACCTACTTACCAGTGTCAAAAGAGAGTTGTAAGGTAATATGAGGAATTACGAGTAGAATTTAGATTTACAATTTAAGATTATACGTTAACGTAAAGGTTTTCATCAAGAACATTGGCTATAATGCCAAAATGCTACTTAACTTTGTGGATGAATGAATTTTGCGTCCAAATCCAAGACATGCTATCTTTAAACTCACCGGCTCGTCGACAACTTACAGTCTTGCCGGCTAAACTAATCAACATGAGTAATTATATAAAAACCTTCTTCTTTGATGGACATGAAACTTTTTAATAGCCATTATGATTACTGACAAAGTAGGTTACAATAATAACAAAAGTATTGAAAGCAACTTAAAAGACAATTATGGTAAATTGTTATTGGATATATTTAGACACTTCAGTGAGAAACGATTTATCGGAAGACTGATGGCCAGTTATTTGTGATGACTGAATACCCTAATTATGTGGAATGAGCAACCATCAAAAGTATTGAAAAGACCACACATTTTAGGAAATACAATTATCGCATGGATAGTTAACACTTTCTACAGAATATGTGATTGTTTTTCTTTCTTTTAGAAAAAACAACTGTTGTCGTAAAAATAACAACCGACTTTGTAGTAATAACACTAACCTCTTCGATAGTCGTTGTCAAAGTATTACGATCTTCTATTAATTCATTTAAAGCAGCTTCAAGTTTAATTGATTTCGTTTTTAACTGGAACGTAAAGAAGAAGAATAGTTAATTTATAAAATTGTGTAACAATCATAATTCAGTATTCGCTTTCCCTTAGACTGTAACACGTTTTCTCCAGAAAATCCACGAATCAATCAAATTAAACTGAGAAAATCCTATACGAGATATCTTGAAGGTTATTCAATAAATATCAGCTTTAACGAATCTATACAACGCCAATACTTAACCACTAAAACCACTGGCCCAGAGTCCAATGATACAATTTTCGCTTCAATTAAATTGTGATTATATAACAGACCACTAGTAACAACTATTTCACCTTCAATATGCATAAGTTAAGAGTTTTAAGTGGAACTCTGAAGGTCTTGAGGTTAATAGCTAGTGGAGTTGTGGTGCATGATGCAGAGTTTACAACTAGAATTCAACAGATATTTAATGCTACCTGGTATTTAGTGATACATAAGCGGAGATAACAAGTGACGAATATAAACTACAAACAAAGCGAGTTTCTGCAAAACCCCATTAAATAAATTAATGCTATACGAGAAAAAATCTTGCTGATTAAAGTTTATGCATTCTCGCTATAAAGGATCGTGCGATTAATCAAACAACCAAATAATGTTATCATAAATAAAGACACATTATTTCGAAATAAACAACACTTGTAAAACGAAACTATTGGATGGTCACTATAATCTTTGATCAAATGTATATGTACTAAAACCTTTAAAACTAAACGCTCACTTAATTAATCAACTCATGTATCCACTTGAAAAGAACAATGTTGTTTTATTATGAAGCATATTCCAACAGCCTTTAAAATATGAACTAAATATACAAGGCTTTGAACTGCTAGCAGACCACCGATCTTAGTTCTGTTTAGTTTGAGCAACAGGAGAATATAACAATTCCTGAGATGAACTCACAACACACACATTTGAGTACTTGGAATTGAATCAGGCGCTAAGCATGAGGGCTAACGATGATTCTCAGTTAACTAACTCATTTAAATGCTGAATTAATGGCTGAAAGTCGAAGGCCTTCATCATTGAGTCATCGCTCTATCGACACATAAACACTTTAGTTTACAGTCAAATATTAGATTTTATATTTGAGAAATGAATTACATTTCATTGACATATCACACATATTTAATTGGAATCATTGATCGATCAATGCTAGACCAACATCGAAAACCTGGAAGCACTAGACAGCCAGTTTGTCCTAGTATAAAACTCCTCAGAAGTGTGCATCCACGATCCCGCACGTGGAACTCGAACCCAGGACCTCCTATCTCGTGCGCGAACACTTAACCTCTGGATCACAAAGCCCGCATCCAACGATATTAATGTCTAACGATTACCAATTCACAATATCACATATTACAAAAATATAAAGAATAAGGAGTGGAAGCAATAGAGCAATCGGACACAAAAAAATGTACAACAGTTTACAACATATTATTGTCACATAATGAATAGAAAGCGATTTCCCAGAAGTAGACAATTTTAGACAATTGTCTACAGATACATTCAAAAAATGTTCGTTTACCAATTCATTTTCAATATTTGCAGCATCCAATGCTTTGTGCCAACGTGCTTCTTCTTCATTCACGGACGTTTGTAATTTAGATAGCATTGATTCAGTGGCATCCAATGCTGACTTGTAATGATCAACTTGATTTTGTAATGATTTGTATTCACTAGGCTTAATAATAAATTGATCCGATTCTGTTTGGTTTGTATGATCATTCATTTTAACAATGGTTTCATAATTAATGCTGCTTGACTTGCCATCATCGATTTGAGGATCATTACTGAAGAAAAAAACAGTGAGATTGATTCGCGAAAAATATAACTAGAAATACAAGTACATAGCAGAAAGTGTAAGAAATGAGCCCCCTCGCCTCAGAACAATCAGATTCTGTCTAATAAAAGTGATTTGAAACCGATACCCATAGAAATTTACATTGATTACATTTGGGATATTTTGTAACAGAATAGTTCGATTTCGGTGTGAGTTGTGAATGTGCACTGAAAAGTCTCATACTAGGACTGTCCAGTGTCTACAGGTTTTTAATGGTGGTCTAACATTGATCGGTTTATTCGCGTGAAACTTGACAATCCCCACAAGCTTATACTGATAGTTAATTTATATTCGATATTTCTAGAGAATACAAACTAGCTACAAGAATAATGTTTGTCAAACAATTCCACATATCGAATGAATACGTTGGAAGGTACAATGCTCAATAAAACTATATATTGTGGATACAAAAACAGTTCGATTAAAAACTCATTCATATAATTATTTACACTCATAATTGGTCCCATGATGAAATACATGGATTTGCCAACAACTAATTTTTAAGAAATTCACGACTGTATATACGAACATTTTCCTTTAAATCAGCACTGTGTAATAAGAAACTATGATGATTGTCATGAAGTGTTTTACGCTCAAAAGCAGATCCGCTATCACTTACATTTTAGCTATTAGACTATTAGCTGACTTCACACAAAAGAGTATATGATTAGACCTGACACGATATTATGTTATACGATATATATACGAAAGATGCCACATTTTCTAGAGAACTTTATTCCTTAAAACTTAAAATTAATTCAAAATATATACATCTATCAAATGATGAAACGAAGATAAATGTAGTTTTTTTCGTTTTGAAGCACATTTCTATAACTAGTTTACAAGGGAGTCTTTTTAATATTTTAGTACAAATCGATAATATCAGTGAAAGTGCGCTAATGTAAAGAAAGATATTTAATATACATGTATAAATGATACAATATATGTATGCTTTATATATTTATTAGTTCTATTCCATTTTTTTCAACAGCACCATCTCAACTTGGATTTCAATTAAGAATATTAGACGATTACACTATCAGAAGCAAATATTTGACAAGAAATATAACTCAGAGAAAAAATGCTTTCAATGAGATAGACTGAAAAGAAGTATGCTGAATATTAATTTTAAGAAATTTGATGACGGTTATGTAGTACTGCAATGAATAATATGGTTAGATACCAAGAGCCCATTCCGTACATGAAATTTGATTTTATTAGGGATTAATACGGTTCTATAGAACGCAAATAGACTGTTAATTAATGGAAAGTAGTGATCATACTACTATTAAACCTCAATCAATGAGTCTCACTCAGCATAGAACCTGGTTAATATAAATGTTACTCCAATAAGCAATATTATATTAGCACAATGAGATGAAATTAACAAAATAAATCGTAAAAGAGTTGAAATAATGTAGTGGAGACGATAATGAGAATATATACTGAAAAAGCAAAAACGAATGCTTGGAATTATGATCCAGAGCAAGATAAAAAGTAGATAGACCTTTTTCCGCCTTGAGCGAATCTGATAATATGTATCGATTTATTGACCGAGGTTATTGCACGGACCACAATCAGGTAGTGCACATCTACCAAAAGATGATGACTATTGACACGTCGTGGTTTAGCAACCACCAGCTTTTTTATAACCTATTCTTCACATTAAATAACAACCCCGACCCCACCCGTGGTTGAGCACATGTAACACATGTCTTGATCACCACCATAGTTGAAGGTGAGTTTGATTGTGCGGCTGAATGATAATCAAAATGCTTTAACATAGGCAAAAAGTGCTTTGATCAAGCAATTGATGGAACATTAACTAATGTCAATCTGCGGCAAAAAAAACCGTCACGAAGTTAGACAATTTTCTACAAAAACCTATTGTAAACAAGAGGCGAATGTGCTAAAAAATTTCAACAAAACACGGATATCAAAAAACAAAATAATTTTAAGTTTATTAAAATAGACATTGTTGAAAAGCCAATGAGATGTATGTAATTACGTTTTTCATTCAAAATACAAGAAACAATAATGCCTCAATATTAAGTTAAAAGCAATCAAAATAAACCAGAAACTCAAGTAAATTAATTGCGGGGAACCGTCTGCTAGGGTTTTAGCACTCAGCCACTACTAAACGGTACATCTTAGATTATCTCAGGCTACTATGATCAAGTTAGATGGAAAGAGTATCTTGGAACTAGCAGAACATCCTACATTTGCTGCGTATTTTTTTAACATTTCTCATCTTAAATATATTAATCATAATAATACTGTCAGTTAATTATTATTTCAACATAATAATCAACACTCCAATGAGAAGGTGAAGTTTGTGTTGATGTCGTTTGGAAGAACGATGAAAGCTCCACGACCAAATCATCCAGCTCAAAGAAAAAATTCCTATAAAAAACTCCAATGTGAAAAAATATATCAGTTTGTAGAACTTAACTTTAAAGGGACTAAGATAGAACATTCATAACATAGGTAATAAAAATGCGGTACAATTAGTACGGTAACTAATGTTCAGATAGCGTAGATAATAATTTCTCTACGGTTGATATACAAAAGACAGACAAATCAAAGCATAACAAGAAGTGATGAATCTTGAAAAGATGACTGTTTTGAAATATAATTTACATTCAGGGTTTAAATCCCGAATCGATCTTAAATAAACTACAATCGAAAACTTAAAAGCAGTGGACGGTTGTCGCATACTAGTATGCAACTCCGTTCAAGATCCTCCACGTGGTAATAGAACAGTATTAACGTCTAACTCCAAAAAATGCACATTATTGCACAACTGCCATCCATTAGCTGAGTTGCATGATTGTTTCACACTTGAACTCCACTGGTCATTAACAACATAACATTCGATGCCAAAAAAAGTAAATCTGTAATCAAATTTTAACTAAAGAACCGGGTGAGGTAAAGATTTCACTCTCGCTGTTAATTAGTACAAAATAGTTACAGTAGTTTTGTGGGCGAAAAAACATAGGTTTTTTACACAAAGTCAAGAGATAAGCATACTAAAATGCGGTGGAAATGTGAGTACAAACCATAGAGAGAATGATTATTGATTATATCACTTTGATATTAATTTATTTTCATCTTTTATGCATATTTATTGTGAACACGTTTACATATGCATGATGGTACCAGTATTTATATAGACTAGTAAACTAATTTATAACATGTAAAAATTTGAATACACCTTTTTATCGAACATAGAACTATAGATTATACAAATCACAATATACAATTCATATTAAAACTAGTTGACACTTATGGAGAATAAAGAACTAAATACAAATCTATTGGGATAATTCATTAGGAAAAATATCTTTGTAGAATTTGATTTTCTACCCAAATCCAAATGCAAAAAATAAGTAATACATTAAACTAAGAGTGAAGTAAATTGATTTAATCTATTCGTGTAAATAACTCGTTTACAATTAACTATCATCCGAAATACCAATTCATTCATAATAAACCTCATACTTGATATGATATTAATTTTATGTTCTACACTTGTTATCTGTCAATTCTTTTTCTTTTAGTTAACTCTCGATGTATTATAAAGAAATATGTAACAACATAACTCAAACGGACGGTATAATTAATAGATTAATTATACTTTATATATATACTGTAAAATTAAAAATATGATTACTTCTGAATATCATCGACAGTTTGCGTAAATTTATCTTCATTAGTTCTTTGAATTACTGTAACTTTTTCAACAGTACGTAAATGTTCTAGTTCACTTTCATGTAGTTTAAGTAATTTATTTAATTCATTATTTTCATTGGTAAACTGTTCTAATTTAGTTTCTAATGTATTTATCATATTGATATGTGATTTTTCCTTTGTTTCATGGTTGTATAATAATGATGTTAACTGATTCTTCATATCATCTACAACAATTTGATGTTGATCATTTATTTGACGGAGACGATCATCATATTCACTTATTTGTCTACGAAGTACGTTACATTGTGATTGAGATGCAGACAATTCGGACAGAACACTCTGTTAAAAGCAAGCATAATAATAATGATCAATCAGCGTACATAAATGGAAATACAATTATAAACGCAGAAGATAAGAATAACTTAGTTGCAAAGAGAAGTCTCATGATAACCTAGGGAATCGTATACAGTAAATACCATTATATCTCGTCAATTCTTTGTGTTATTGTTGGTACGAGAAATACAGATAAGATCTGGATTTGTTTCAAGTTAGATCACTTTATTACGTCATACTCTTAAGTTTCGTGAGTGAGCTGAAAACATGTGCATATTTGAGGCAGTTATATCACAAAACCTATCGTTTAGTCCAGAAGTATTAGTGAAAGTTTTATATATGATTTAAACACAATATCATACAGTTCGCATAGAGAGAGAACACGTTTAGTTTATACCACAAACGATTAATGAGTATTACATAGACCAGTTAAAAAAAAATCCTTTATATCAATTATATGATCATCTGACTAATAGGTTTAAACCATTGTTCTCTGAATTCTTGATCTGATAGTGTAAATGGGTGACTATACACGCATGAAGAGAAATTATACTTAGTTTGGTGATTAGCCTAATCATGTGGAACGAAGGTGAGTGGTAGGCAAGAACATAAAAATATATGTTGGTATGACTCTCATGGATCAGTATAAGACTATGAATAAGTGATACATTACCATTTTGTAACAAGACTTAAAAGTAGTTCGTGAAGACAAAATTCAAAACGAACAAACGGAAAAATCGAAACTTGTTACTTTCTAAAATAGTATTTACTTTACATGCATTGATTTATTGAAATACAGAAAAACGATGTAAAGTTTAGAAATATACAACCAAACACCAAATAATAATTGTTAATAGTTCAGTGCTATATTGTGAAAATCACATTTCTGACAAAACAATTGTAAATAACTTTCGACCTTAGAACACAATTCTTCCGAGGTGTGTAAAATTCAATCCAAAATATTTTGAAAGCACTCACAGACACAGAACGTTAGTATACGAAGTCAAAAAACAACGAAATCATACATTTAAAAAAATAAAGTTGTAGCTTCCATATTTCATAGATGTTGGTAAAATGTAAATGTGTCTATCAGGAAATATAAGTTCAAATATAGTATATAAACAAACTATTCTTGAATGTAGTGCATTCGTGTCCTAAATGCGTGATTTGGAAATCGATTGTTAAACTATATACAAATATGTGAGAAACTGTCAGTTATTTGAAGCGTAATCTTGTAAGTCATTTTGACCAGGAATAACACGTTGATGTTTGAAGTGAAAGATACTGGATTGGAGTCTCAACGTGAATATAAATATATGGAAGCAGGTTCACCTAACTAGCGAGTCCCAAGTAGGGAGAAACTAGCGTCTAGGATTTGATTGTTAACCACAAATCATATATTTCATACGATAATATTAAGCATAATGGTAAAGTGTAGTTAAATGCAACACACATGTTCATTCAATGAACTGTGGATCAATCCTATTCGGGTTAATGAAACTGCTGCAGAACTTCAATCTGAACGATTGATAAATTCAACTGAAAGACCAGTGATTAGACAATGGTGATTTCTTCTATTTTACAGTTTATCTTCATTGAATAAATGCAATACATCATATTTCAGTCTTTCCATATTTTTTGATCAGAACAAGTGAAATGGACTTATAAAAACAATAAATGATAGACAGATCGTTCTGCGAGACCAACTATCATACTTTAATCATAAAACGTCTACGATCACATATAATTAGGCGAATAGTAATGATAATATATATAATTACAGTAATGATCAGCGAAACTTACGGAATGTTTATTGCTCAATTCTTCGAATTTGCGTGTTAGAATGTCTTTTTCTCCTCGAAGTACAGAGTTTCCATTTTCCAGTGCCTGAAGTTCGAAAACAGTGAATATAATACTTTTTAGTTTCAAAGGTAACCTTATATATACATTCGGTAAATAGAGAAACGAGGGTTTTGATAAAACTTGATTTACCTAATAAGATTTCGCTGTTGATTCTCTCTAATTAACTATTTGTCAAATGAATTTACAAAGTAATTATCAGATGAGACATTTATTTAAGTTTAGTTGAATGAAAATTCCAACATACTCATGGCTTGTTGTTCCATAAGTGGAGCAAAATATATATTGCGATATATGTTTAATACCATCCAGCTGAGATATCTTTAAAGCGACATTTTTCAATACACAATAATATCTGCTGTTAAACCTTGAGATGTCTTCAACATGTTTAAACCAATAATTACGACTCATTAATACCCAGTGACTTATTCTTTAACTCCACAAAACGATGACTAAAATGTTCACAAAGTGATTAAAAACCTATCCTGTTCGAAAGAATGGATATTATCTAACTATCTACACAGCGTATATATAGATATAGAAATCATGAACTCACTTCACATTTGCTCCTGAAAGATGAGATATCTAGTCGGAGTACTTCTAGTTCCTCCAAACGCTGTGTGAGTTTGTGTTCGGCCTCCTACAACAAGTAAGATTAGATCAGGTTAAAAATATCCATGTCCTTGAGTGTGATTATATGGTGAAATACATGTATTACCGCCTCATTAAATAAATTTCTAGATCGCGCCAGCAAATTAACATAATATAATAAAATCACCAAATATTTATCACACAGGAATACATATGTATATCTTGTGTTACACCTATTAACTGAGTAGCGGAACCATGAAAGCTGAAATCAAATTACATATACAGCTACTGACAATACTCAAAAAAGGAATGGTGTAAATATGTATTCAGTACATTTTTCAGATGAAAATTTTGTAGGTCAATGAGCCCATAAAATGTGACAGAACCAAAATTAAGGTAAAATATCAGTCACTTAAATCTTCATTATATAAGCAGTTGACTTTTTTCCCATCCCTTTATAAACTATATTACTTTAAAAGATTCCAAACTTATCAAATGGTAATGTCATCATCAATAAAAAATAGATGTAGGATAAACTTATGTATGATATTATTTGATTTTTTTTCAAGATGAAAGTCCTTATTTTAAGCTCCATATATGTCGACCTATGAGTCGTTGTTACTAGAAATTAGAATGTTTAGTTATCATTATTACTAATGTTAATTCATGGATGGTATAATACTTGATATGTGTACAAATGAATTATTGTATCCATATGAAACTCTTCATGTCAATGCAAAATGTATAATATCTATCTTATTTAAAACCATACGATAACGAAGCTATAATTACCTTTGAACTTTTAGTCTCTATGATAATAATCGAGAAAATGGTACTAATATTCGATATGTTACAAAGATCAGTGGAACAAACAATAAAGTAGAGTAGCCTACATACGATTTTTTTAAAGAATTGGAATATATAAACAAGAAACATTTTACCATCAATAATCATTCGATAATAATAAATACAAGTTAGGTCATAAAGTCTACAAATCTATAGCTACATGCAATAATGTCATACGAAATAATTAAGTTGATTTTAATTGACTATCGAATTAGATCATAATGAGCATTAAACATATAGACATATGATAAATTTGAAATTTCCACGGTAGACAAGCATTAGATAGATTGTATTAGTTACATATTCACGTCAAACAATATTAGCTTAGAAGGTAAGCGGACTTTTGATCAATTATTAAGTAGTAGTATTCATATATTTTAGATGAGTCAACAATATTTGATGTAAATGAATACATGAAACTTTCATATTTAAAAATGTCCTTGACCTATAATAACGTGCATTAAAAGTATAATAACCACGCATAATTACGTAGATAAATATATGATAAATTCCTATTGACTACTAAACTATGATAATAATGATTAAGATGATTTGGCACTGGATAATATAAACGTAATTGAAACAAAACTAAGTGTCAAGACCAAGAAAGCCTGAAACATTGATTCAGTCTATAATACACTGACACTCAGCATCTAATCAAATTTTTACTTTATTTATTACAAAAAATTATTGAACAGTTTTAACGAACACGAATATAGATGCATGGTTATTAATAGTGATTTATCGAAACAACAAGAATTACAATAATGCCATACACATAATTTGACAAACCTCAGATTTTCGATGATGAATTTCAGCTTTCTGTAATACATCTTTTAATTCTTTTTCTAAACGACTATTCTCAGACTCTAGACTGTATAATTTCTCCGATTGTGTATCTAAAGTTTGTTGTAATAATTTAGTTTCATCAGCAGCTTTAGATTTTGAATCGGATAATTTCTTATTGGCCGTATCCAAACGACTTTTCAAATTCTATTAAAATTAGTGAATTAATTGTAGAGTCAGAGAATTAGTTAATAAATAGATTTATTAACAAAATTTTGAAATTGCTAACCCAAAATAATATGATGGCCAAATAGAAAATAATAACATCTCAAATATTCTGAACAATTGTCTGTGCATGTGAAAACAGTTTTGTGGAGAGTTAAGAAAAATTAATAAGATAAAAGGGGGAAAGACGAAATTACCACATTTGATCTCTTGTATAAGTTTAATTCAATTTGAAGTTTTAGTAAAATCTAGCCAGTGGTTTTGTTTCGCCAGATGCTTTTAACAAGGTGTAAAGGTTGATACTAGAAACATATTAAAGATATTTGTCAATCAAGTGGACTAATAACTGCTGTTGAAAACAAAACTATGTAGTACAATTTTTATGAGAATACAGTCATGGTGAATTTAAATCACACTTAACGGTCAAACCTTAATTGACAACAGAATGAGTGAAACAAAAACTAATTTCTTTCGATTACCTACGTCAGTTTATCATGTTATTTTTCGCGTGAATCTTTTTGTACATAAGCATGTTATTTTATTTCACAAGAAACATTCTACTGGCTAGTTTTCTTGCTTTCAATTCTAAATCATTCGACGGTTTACGTCAATAACTCGATTTCATGAGCACCCATCACTTGACAACTTTGTATCATTCTATGCCTTCTATCGACCACATTTCCTTTAAATTTTAACAATGGACAACTCTTTCATCAAACCATTTAACCCAAGTTTATAATACAAACAAAATTTGCTACAAGCGTGAAGTCTGATGCAATATCTACACACTAATATAAGTTATAATGAACCAAAATTAAATTACTCGAAAATGGTTAATATTAACAGACTACATTACACAGAAGAGTGTCGACTTACTTCACTACGTTGTTGATAGATAACCACTTCTTTAACTAAACGGGCGATTTCATTTTGAAGAGTCGACAGTAGAATTGCATCTGAATCGGTCGTTTGTTGAGGATGCGAGGACTTAATATCCGGTGATTCACTAACAATTCGGAAAATAGGGAATATATTTACGGACGGAGCCTGACGTAGAAATATTGAGATCTGATTAATATTCATTATGTTTAAACAAAGTATTAGAGTTTCGAAATGTTTTCCTATTCATATGTATTTAAACAAAAGGTCTTCAATAGAACGTTCAAATAGAAACTAACAGTACATTTTTTATATTTGGTAACTTTAACCTTAAAACAGTAGATGCTTCACTCTTAGCGAGTAAAAATCTTTGTTTCAAATATTAATCACTCATTTGAAACTTATGTGATTACAGAAAGCCAAATGGGTTTAAAACCTTTAACAGAAATAAAAAACAAGTGACTAACTTAACAACACTTTTGGATCGTCTCTTTTACAAACTGCTGAGTTACTGTGATATACATTCTTAATTTAAATATGTGTTGACGGAGTAACTAAGTCTATGAATCTTGAAATGTACTGATGGGTTTTGCAAAAAGCCAACAATATATCATGACGTTAAATAGTGGAAATATCATAGCGGTTAGGATATTTTTTATTTCTTTCTTTTGAGAAACGATGGGAAATTACATCAAGACCGATGCAACATTCAACAAACTATGAGTTGGGGGCCCCCAAATGCCCTGGTATGGCCGAGAGTGGGGAGAGTCCGCTCTCCCTCTCGAAATGCTCTCACATGGCCATGCGTATATAGCCTCTGCCAGGGAAGTCCTACTCACTGCCTTCTCGTGGCGGGGGTGTTGTTTACAAAAATGAGAGGACGAAAAGCGAATTTCCGGCGCTTTAACCGGACCCCAAACCAATGGTGCACATGGGCTCCAGTATCCTGCGGGGACAAATGGCGTATGAACCAATCGTTGGTCACCGGCTACCATGGGACTGCATCTCCTCACGATGCTCCACTGCCTTGTGGATCAGACGTTCAGGTCAAAGGCTCGGGGTGTGGCCCCCTAAGAAAACCACCTGCTTCGGTTTGGGCACCCGGGCAGTATCACAGCCCTCACACAAATCAATTGAGATTTGTGTGGCGCATATGTATTTGGTGCCTCCCTGTACCTATACTTATGTGTTAAAATAAATAAAATAATAAATAATGAGTTGGGGGAATGGTTGAAACGGTTTACAGTTGAAAATGAATGCGAAATAAGCATTGGTAAGATATAGTTTTATATATATTTAATAGCTATATACGTGTTAAATTTGAATTTGTTGTAATAATTTATTTGGTGCCGATAATTATTTATTTGTAGGTAAACATATAGTAAAAGTAATTTTATTATTATCATGATGATTATTAGTGACAGAGTAGTAACATATAACTTACATTGGATCAGTCATAGTTTCAGCATCAGTCATGGGCTTTTGGACAGGTACACGATTAAGAGCTAGAGTTTTCAGTATTTTTACTTCATCCCTTAAATGGACAACTTCAGTACGCAAAACCTTAAATGAATAAACACAATAATAATGATATAATCTGCAAAGCATTTTCAACTAAAAGCGTATATCAGTTTAGTTAAATATGAATTACTACTAGATACGTGAAATGTACTCTCCCTTAATTTTTTCTTAAACATAATCTTAGTAACAGTTAAAGAAATTATTTTCAATAGACGTCAAGTGTACAACAGCTGGTTATAATAATAAACAATGAAACTGTATTAGTGGAAATGAATCACAAGTGATTCTTTGAATTTGATAACTGTATCCTATGCCTATCTGAGTGAATGTGAATTATAGCTAATGAAAGATTATACATTGGAAGAAATGATGCAAATAATTATAAAAACTGAAATCTGAAGTATTTTTGAAGATTAACATTAATTAAAAATTGCCTCTGTATGTGAACTCTATTCAAACAAAATAATTGACCTTTCAAATTTTTTTATTTCTATATTAACTTGAGTTTTTTTAACTTATTTGTGGTCCGTCTGTATTGTTGAGTAGCAGTACGGTTACGCTCCCTTATGTAAAGTCAGTCAGTCATGTGCAACACAAAAACTGGTACAAATGTGCATAGGTTTAAGTCTCCATACCACATTGGTACGAGGAAAAATTATCAAACCCTGGTCACTAGTACAAGTGTTTTCATGTAAAATGCTTATACTAATGACTGGAAGTTTATATCTACTGCTATTAGGCAACAGGTGTGTTTCTACAAAAATTATAGAATGTTAACATACACTCGGTGAATACAAGGAATTCACATTTAAAAAACATTGATTACAAATCAGTGGTGTATACGGGTTTCTGAACTTCAAAATAAAATAGAAATCAACTTCAAAAGGGCAATACGTGAAAGAAACCAACGTAGGAATACATTTCCCACAGGTACCGTTATTTTATGGAAGAAACCTTCCAGTCGATAATCAACAATATTTCATCTGATTGTAAGAGCGGTTGCTGAATTTCAAGAAATTAGTGCATTATAACAACTAGATTATAAGGGTTTACTATTCCTGTTGTCACTATATATATATATATATATATATATATATATATATATATATATATATATATATATATATGGTAGTACTTTTATTACCTGACATTCAGCTTCTTTCGCTTGCAGTTGGGCTGTCATATGCTGTGATATAAGTTCACTTGTTGTGGGCAGATTATTCGTACTTTTAGGAGACACAGACGATATTTTCTGTATAAATAAAAAACCAACAAAGAATATAACATCGTATCACTAAATGTAGTATAACAGGATACTAGAAACCATTCTACATGAATTAAAACACGATATAATAAATGAAACAAAACATGAATTGATGCTTTGAACCTATTTCACATCCTCCTATATTTTTTAAAACATTTGTACATTAAAGTGCTTCAGAATAGATTCACTTATAAATGAGATCAACTAAATTAATTCCCGTCATTTTGAAGAAATAATTAATTGTAATCGAATAGAACTTTACCATCCGACCGAAAATTATTGTTTGAAAAGTTTCAGAAAATTATATTAGTAAGAAAGAGGATACTTCTTACCTAGCTGTATTAAGTTTAAAATTCTTAACAAATATATTCTAAGATGGGTTTAAACGAATGGTTTGACTAACTTGTTTACTCATCTCATCACATGAAAAAGGGATTTCAGAGGGACGTGAAGTATGGGTTTCGCTATTCAGAATCAATGATCGGATGGCTGTTACTGTTTCAGCACCAAGATTTTTGTACAACAACTCTTCATAAGGTGTTGAAGTATGTGAATTCACGGTACCCAACTTTGTAATTTCATTATGTTCAGTTTTCATGGGTTGAGTTTGAGCAGGAGCTTTTGACCGCTTAGTAGGACATGATTGGTCTGTGTTTAATTCCACATTCATAGACTAATAAGTCAAAAAATATTAAACAAATAAATACGTGACTATGCATTTGCATACGACACAACATTATTAAATTCATTAAAAATCTGATATTAGGGGCATCTATTACAAGCAGCTCTTGTGTAAAATGAAATCAAGCGAAATTTAACCTGTGAAACGGGCAGTTGTAAAGTACTTATATGTTTGGTTGGCTACACCAAATAAACTTGTATATAAATGGGCTCATACAAAAAAGAATTAAATATCTGAATCGAATATTAAGCGATCCGATTGCCATATTCAAAAACTAAGATGAAATTTAACCAGCTTACGCATTTGTTGAGTGGTAAAAACTTCAATAAATCACGAGGAGTTGAAACAATTCCTAACCACTATACTACGTAGATGCGCACCAAAGATTATGTTATTATTCACTTTCACAATATCTAATGTAATATCTTCTTAATATTTTGTACTCTTGACTAATTGTATTGTAGCAAACTGTTGTAACATGTACATATCTGTACAACAATCTAAGTTGATATCTTTCTGTTTTGTTTCCGACTTCTTGAGTAAATAGTCTTGAAATGAGAAATAGAATTAGACGTTACTGAACAGTTACCAGTTTTAGCGACTCAATAATATAGCTCGATAAGTGTATTCAACTATTCAAAGAGGATAGTATTAAATCTCTTTATTTGGCCTGGCATTCTACTGTCTAGTACTTTGTTTTGCTCAACTGACTTCCAAATCAAAACACGGCTCGAACAGGAAAATCAATATATTTCAAATAAAACACCAAACATCAAAATATCAGTGAATATAAATCAACTTTACAGTATTGTAGAGTGTTTACAGCCAATCTATCTTCGCTGATTAGTTGAAAATACTGTCTGAAGCGTAGTTTGATCAAGCACCTGTTCTACCAACAGGTAGACACTATATAATTTATTGAACTTTTATAGTTTGATAACGAATTATCAATAATGTTTACTTGTATTAGTAAATACCTGAATTTCGGTGTAGCACAATTCCGGGTGTTATATTGGACGAAACCCAGTAATAACCTAGTAATTTTCAGGCTTATCATATGAATACTAAGTAAACAGAATCCTATTATACTTCCTAATGATATACGATTTAATTCACATAATCTACTCTTGAAGCTACTTCAATTCTTTAAAAAAATCTTTTTACTTTGAAATAATTTTATAGCATGGCTACCCTTTTCTATAAGCACTTATAATATGATTAGCTTTCAACATTTAGAAACTGACTTTTTTGTTTTCCTACTGATAATGAACTGTATCGTTCAAAATTGTATGTTAAGATGGAACAAGTGACAAATATCGATTTCATTTAATTTAGAAATGTTTTCAAACTATATCTATAAAACAATTAAGCTGTGAACACGGATTTCCTGCAGATAAGTCAACCTACTTGAGTGTTATACCTAATAATGTGGAAATTAACACAATAAAACTAGTTTGATAGATAAATGACAAAGAGGTTTCATATATGAAACGGTGAAATGGATCAAATGTGCAATAATCCATTAAAACCAATTAATGGGACTACAAATACGGGTTGTGCTTTTTAATGTGATCTATTTTCACACAACAATAAGACTAGGAAAACGAAAATACAAATTACTGTATTAACATACTGATGACGACAATGATCATACGGGTACTCAACTTTCATGGATATTATAAATAACATTTAAGTTAACTTTTTTCAATAAGTTATTATGTTAGGATATTTACAACTTGAATTAGCATAAACAGGACTCAGTGTTTCATAAAGTGAACGCAGTGTAATTTACTGAAATAGACAGATATTGGATATGTGTAGTATCCAGTTGAGAAAACTAGCTTTCACAGAAGGCAAAAACTATTTGGCGACGAAATTATGTGTTTGGATAAAACCATATGGAGAAACAGTTTTGAGATCTATTTCAATAGAATATCTTTTCGCATGGTACATAGGTACAACATTAAAAGCATGAAGCACGTTGGTAAACTAACGAACCATGTGACCATTTATATACTAGGCTTTGTAATTTTTATCATAAAGGTGAACAATGCTAACAGACTACCTACCCTAAATATGGGACAAGTTTACACTCAACATATTTGTTTTAAGGTTCCGTGAATATTGACGTATATGAGTGTCTTGAGAACAGTTACTTTGAGGACTTCTATCAAATATTAACAATTCAGTAATCATTTTAGTGTAAGACGTATCAATTGACTGAATAATTGTTTGAAACTACGAAGTATGTGTAAAAGGAAATAAAAAAGCTTATCAAAGTAACAAACCTTATTTTCTACAATGAAGGAGCTAGGTTTATTGCTAGCGGATAACTCTTGTTGCTTATTGTTTGCTTGCTTATTTTGGATCGGTGATTCAGCAAAAGAAATGGGTGAGTGATTTTCCGAAACTGATTGATCTCCTGGAACAAAGCAAAAAGAATAAAGTGTTAAATAGGGAGAAAATAGTTACATAGTCAGCCTGTCAGTCACAAAGTAGAACCTGTAGGTATGTACATTGGTTTAAGTTGTCATAACTCATAAGTACAGAGAGATAACGTTGCCAGGCCAAAAACTACTTACTTCCTTACGCCTGTTACCCCTGGCAGATGAGCATAAGCCGCCCGACAGCATTCTCCATCGAACTCTGTCCTAGGCAATCTTTTCCAGTTGCTATTCTTTCTTTTGATGTCTGCTTCCAATTTCCAACGCAATGTGTTCCTTGGTCTTCCTCTTTTCCTTTTCCATTCAGGATTCTAAGTATGTGCTTCGTGATGCAGTTTGGTGGTTTTCGAAATGTATATCCTAATCACCTCCAGCGTCTTCTAATTTCCTCTTCAGCTGGTATCTGGTTTGTTCTCTGCCACAGTAGGTCGTTGATGATATCAGGCAAACGGACATTGAGTATCTTTCGTAGGCAGGTGTTTATAAACACTTGTACTTTTTTGATGATGATTGTAGTTCTCCAAGTTTCAGGTCCGTACAATAGAACTGTGTAAAAATTCGTATTGAAGATTCTAACACTGATTTTGGCTAACAGCTGTTTTGAGTTCCAGATATTCTTTAATTGTAAGAATTCTGACCTTGTCTCAATCCTTGCATTCACATCTGCACCAGATCCATTTTGTTTATCAGTGATGTTGTTCAGATACGTAGAACATTCTACCTCTCCCAGAGCTTTTTCACCAAGTGTGATTGGGTCGGTAGTCACTGTGTTGTTTATCGGGATATTGCTTTTTCTCTTATGTATGTTGAGGGCTACTGCTACACTGATTGTCATCGTCTGGATTTATTGGTGTATGGGATAGGAGAGCTAGGTAATCTGAGAAGTCCAAATCGTTCAGTTGTATGCAAGCTGTCCATTGTATTCCATGCTTCCCCTGAGATGTGGAGGTCTTCATAATTCAGTCAACCACCAGAAGAAAGATGAATGGTAAACAGCCTTGACCGACACCGGTTCTCACTTCTAATTGATTCTGAGCTCTCGATTGCATTCTGTGCTTTCCATCAGATGTCAAGGTCTTCATGATCCAGTCGACCACCAGAAGAGGATAGTAGACAGTCTTGTCTGACACAGGTTCTTACTATCAATACATTTGTCAGTTGTCCTCCGTGCACGACCTTGCAATGTAGTCCGTCGTTTGGATTCCGTTGGATATTGACGATCTTCTCAGGTACACCATAGTGTCGAAGTTTCCATAATGTTCTCCTATCTACACTGTCAAACGCCTTCTCATAGTCAATGAATTTGACGTACGGTGACGAGTTCCACTCAAATGATTGTTCAACGATGATCTTTTCTTTGGAATCTTGATGAGGTGTCCTTCTTTCCAGTTCATCGGCACTTGCTCTTCCTCCTAAATCTTCTGCAATGTTTGCAGTCACTTCGACATTGTTTCTCCAGTCGTCCAGTACTTCTTTAGTTTTAGTTTCATTTTGGCAACCACCAAGTGATGACCTGAAGCTATGTCAGCACACCTCTTGGTTCTCAAGTCTTCCACTGACCTTCTAAATTTTTTAATGTTGCAAATATGACCGGTCTGGGGTTACTGCCGGCCTCAAGCTCAAGTAAATGAGTACGGTTGGGCATGGGGTCAGTAATCCCATCACGTAGAAAACAACCTCGCTAAAAAAAGCCGCAAATCCTTGAGTAGTAGTGGTAGAAGCAGTATCAGTGGAAATAGAAAATATAAGACATTGAAGACACGACTCGAAAAGAAAATATAAATTGGTGAAACAAAGACAAAAAAGTTATGAGCAATTTAGAAGCCCAGAATTTAGCGAAGACAAAGAAGGGATGCACCTGCGGCATTCCAAACGATTTTGAGCCATGTCATTCAAAGACTCTAACCATTAGTTACGACAACCATGCATACCACAACTAGAAAATCTACACCTATTAGCATAGCTAAGTTCATTTGTCAGAAACTTCATAGACTGATGTCATGTTTTGTTTTGGCCGTCCCTAGTTTTCTTCCAGCCTACTCCTACACCAGAAAATGTCTCCCGTCGAGGTAGGCGGTGGATGAGCATACGTAAAACGTTCCAACTACCTCGGTTGGTAAAGATTTACTAGTTCATCAATCGGTTTGCCAGCCTTACCTAATGTCCTATTCCTAACCCGGTATTGACAACACCGTGGTCTCAAAATACACGAGCAATGCTTCTTAGACACCTATGACCAAATACTACTAATCTACGAATATCCTCTATTTTAAATAACCATATTACACATCCATAAATTGAAACGGAGAGGACTTATTTGCAGTAAACTCGTCCTTTGGTTAAAAGACCGATATCTCTGTCATATGTGACGCAAGTTGATAAAAGCCAATCGAGTTACGTAACAAACAGTTTGATAATTACCATTAATGTACACTCAGAAACTTTATTTCACGTAAAAACAGAATGAATTGAAAGTTTTTTTCTACGGGGATATAACTCCACAAAAACATTATTTTCTTGCATATTTAACACGCCACTTTCATAACTAGGGGTTTCGCTAGGTATTTTTCTTACGTGCTCCCGATCTCTGGTACTTTGATTATCACAAAACAGTAATTTATATGTAGTACTTTCCAATAATAGAGAGAATGCTATTTATTTCTGTCCCTGAGATCGTTAGTAGAATTTTAACACTTTTACTAGAAAAACGCTAAATATAGTATGGAAATAATTAGTTTTACAGTAGTGGGGGACAATAATTTTGTTGTTTTTCCCTACTTAGCAAGTAGTGGCTTGAAAAAAAACAATATGTGAGTCGGAAATTAATTGGTCAAAGCCGCTTAAGCCACAAATGTTACCTTTGTTTGCTGTATGGAAAATGGAAATGCGGGGGTACATTTGACAGGATGAAGGTGTAAACCAATAAACATACAACATTACTAGGTTGCTTGAAAATCCCAGCTTCTTACTAATCCACCGGATATTAATTAATAAAAACTACCTCATTAAGTCATAAAAAAAATTGAAAACAATAATTGGATAAAGTGTAAAATTCGACATCGGTTTACCTTCACTATCCACGTTCTTTTTCTTTTGAGTGTTTCGGTTGGAAAGTTTTGCCTTTTTTGAAGTGACCGTAACCCATGCTGAATCAATCTCAGTTTGTTCATTCAAACCATGGTTTTGAGCGTCTTTCGTTTTAGATGAACGTTTCGACTTTTTCTGCTTCTTTGGAACGGGGTTAAAGAACTCAGCCTCAATCCCATCTGTTGCCTCGCTGACTGTTTCTTGTTTAATTTGAATAGGCTGAACTGATGCGCATTCCGTTTGTTGGACAGGTAGGACTGGAGCTAGTGTCTCGATAACAAGTGGTTGTGAAACTTCCGTTTTTCGAATTTGGGTAGTATTTGACTCAGATTTGTTGGAATGTTTTGGCTTCTTCCTGAAATTGGAATAGGAGTTGCCACGACGTGAAGAAAGTTTTTCATCCTTTGTATTTCGGAACACAGTCGATTTTAAATCGAATAACTCATTCCGGTAGCGGGCAACAAGACAAATGATTATTGATCCTACTCCAATGGTGGCAGGAAATAGGAACGAGAAGTCTAACTGACTATCATCGTTAGAATCCCTTTTCCACCCACTGAGCCAATTCAAAAAGTCCATTTGTAAGTATCTAAACCAAGACATAAACCGAAGACGGAAATCACATGACTTCAAGAAAATTAGGAGTGGAAAAGTCTTTAATAAATAACTAATTATTAAATAGTATGCCACTGAAAAAGATAGGAAATAGAAAAAAGCCAAAAAGTTCTGTTATTTGGAAGCCTAATCTAGGGACTGAATGTTAGATGACTGTTAAATGTTTAAGCAGCTACTTTGCCAAATATGCAGAGCATATACATGCTGGATGTGATCCCATTGGAATAATTTAGTCCCATGAATCTTTTTAACTATGAAAAGTAAAATTATTGCAACTGGGTCAATAAGTAATCTGGATTATTATAAACTAGAGAAACTGAATCGTAATGTTCTGCATTCGGATCCTACTAAAATAAAAAAGCTTATGTTAAAAAATTAGTGATTTTTTGACAGATACATCCTTAACAAATGGTATGAGAATATTTTCTCGTCCCATGATTGGTGGGAAATTCATAAACCATAGATTAGTTCAGCAAAAGAAGCCTGAAAATCTAACTGAGAGAATATACGATTCAAAGATTATCGATCAAGTTTATTCGATGATTAAGGATGACACCGTGAGTGATACAACGTACTCAAGCATTAGAATAATCAATAAAGTGAGAAATGACGATTGTTTTATTCAGCTATATGAGTCTGTTTGATAAGAAACACTTTTTATCCCTAACTACCTTAATGAAGTTAGGACTGCAGCTACAGTAAGCTATGTAAAGCTGGGAGTGGTTTACACATATGGTTTACAAAACTTTATCAAGAGACGATTTATGCATCCATAAACTATTTAAAGGATAAGGCAGCATTTAATATTTTATCTGAGGCTTACAAAGCTGAATAAAGTCCACTGATATTTTTTTCACATTGCATTCATGCATATTCACTAGATGATTATCACTGAAAATTAGGATAACACAAGTTGTGAAAAACAGTTTCCATGTAGTGTGTTAGGAGCGTAATACTTGTAGGTAATTATAACACGCTTATGTTTTCGCCTCAATGGTTGAAATAGTTAGATAAACATGTTAGAAATGTGAATTAATTAAGTGTATATAACTATGAAGCCAACATTGTTCAAAGTTCACTTTCAAGGTAACACTAACAGTAAATCATGCTAGCACTACCAGTTCATTTAGCTTTGAAAATAGATATGCCATTATAACTTGAAAAAGTAAAATTTTTTGTACTAGGCCTCCAAAACCCAGTATATGTAAAGGCTAATAGAACTACCCGACCAACAAAACCAAGTAGAGGTTCAAACATTTGACATCGGTTGACACTAGAGTGATTTAAGCATATAGCTAGTTAGTATGAAATCGTTTATAAAGTAAATGGACAAAATCAACGAAATTATGAAACCAAAGGAGCGCGGATGTGCGATCGTAACAAGTTGTATTTTCAATGGTGTTCATGTTAAGCAACGCTGAAGTATGTACATGCAACGAATCAGTGAAAATCTAGGACTCTAGTCATTATTATTAGTCGGTGTAATAACTACAAAATAAGACGATGGCAGATAAGAAACCTTTGTACATGTTTCAAAAATCCGTTTCTTTGGCACGGCAAAACATTTAGACCATCGTAAATGTTGAGTCGCAAATCGGTTTAAACCGTCTTGTAGATAACTCGGTAAAGTTTCAGATTTGATCGATACCAGTGAAGAGCAATTAACAGGATCCAGTTGCGCAACATAGTACACAATTGTATATTTACGCACTATGGTCTGAGACACCAAACGAATCAGTTGGATAATAATGGCACACGTGTCTAGCCGACCAGGAGCAGTAGTACACGTGATAAGTAGTTTCACTGCTCTACTAATGTTTTCTTTTATTTATCTTGCTATGAACCAGAATGTAATCACAGGGTAGCCAAGCAAACATTGATCACCACCATGTCACTTGTTTAATAAAGTGGAATAACTAGTAAAAATCGAGAAGCTAAAAACATGTAAAGTGTTCCTAACCAAAACCATAGTAAAGTAATTTTCGACGGTAAAGTGAAGACAATATGATCTGTGTGTCATAACCTACAGGGAACCACGGCAAACAGCTATAAACAGCCCGCTTTAAAATAAAGTGTTCATTCCAGTTGATCACCCGCCTGCGACGTACTGTTTCAATGGTTCAAATGGTTCAAATGGTTGCGGACGGAATAGAAGAAGCTTTCGCTTAACAGGCTTCCGTGTCTAGTAGCAAGGGATCACCAATACCTCCAGGCAAGAACCTAGGTATATTAACGATAAAAGAGAAAAGAATAAATTGGTAAATCATAGTAAGATACTATCCTTAGTCCTTAAGAATAGATCAAGTCGCCTCTTAAAGGACTCATGGGAAGTTGCTTGGACTAGCTCAGCTGGCAGCGAGTTCCAGCATTTGACAACTCTTAAGGAGTAGAAATTGTGTCTGCAGTCCGTTCTACTATGTTGTATCTCCAGTTTTTGGGTGTTACCCCTTAGGTTAGTGTTGGGACTAAGCTTAAGTAGGTGTTTAAGAGGATGCCCAGGTGTGTTGAGGATACTGTAAGCCACTAAAAGGTCACCTCTAAGACGCCTGTACTCCAATGGGTAAAGGTTAAGTGATTGGAGGCTCTCTTCGTAAGGTTTAACTTTGAGTCCACGAACTGATTTCGTGGCTCGCCGTTGGACAAGCTCCAGAGTGTCCTTATCCTTTTGGAGTGTAGGAGGGAATACTATGTTTCCGTACTCTAAATGGGGACGAATGAAACTAATGAAGATTATGTGAAAAGTTCTCCCGTCAAACTGACCAAAAATGCGCTTCAATGCTACCAGTGCAAGGTTTGCTCGAAAGGCATTTTTGTCACAGTTGGCGTAAGACTTTAAGTCGTAGGGCACCAGAACTCCTAAATCTTTTTCGACTAGGGATACTACTAGAGAGGAGTTCCCTAAGTTGTAACTGTAATCTGCGACGTGTCGCAGATGGACTACTTTACACTTTGAAGTGTTAAAGGTAAGTCCGTTATCATCTGCCCAACTTTGAAGTCGAGTCAGATCCTCCTGAAGTGCCTGTATGTCCTCTTGGTTGCGTATCTCTCTCCAAAGTTTCACGTCATCGGCAAAGAGCAATATGTCTGACGTTACCTGTTGAGGAAGATCATTTATATAAATCAGGAAGAGGAGAGGTCCTAGTACTGAGCCCTGGGGGACCCCACTAGAACATTCCATAGCCTTTGAGAAATTGAAGTTTACCCTGACCTTAAAATGTCGATTTGTGAGGTATGAACTGAGCCAGTCAATTAAAGGAGGTTTGATACCCAATTGTTTGAGCTTGTTAATAAGACATGTGTGGTTAACCCTATCAAAAGCTTTAGAGAAATCAAGGTCAATGATGTCCACCTTCCCCTTGCGATCAACGATCCTTGTCCATCTGTCCACCGCAGTCAGCAAGTTCGTCATACAGGAGTAGCCCTTTCTGAAACTATGCTGCTGGGGTGAGAAGAAATTTAAGGACAGCAGATAGTCGTGTATACCATCGTATACCAGGGACTCCATGATCTTTGAAGGTATAGAGAGAAGAGCCACCGGTCGGTAACTTGAAGGTTCGCTGCGTCGACCTCCCTTGAAGATCGGTGTGATATGAGCCAGCTTCCAAATATCCGGTAGTTTGCCTTGACTAAGCGGTGTTGCCAGGATTGAAGCTGCTTCCCTCAGTATAGCAGAGTGGACCATGTCTGGACCAGGAGAATTGTCTGTTCTTAGGTGTTGTAGTTTACGAAACACCAAGTCGACACTCGGTTTCACTACGGAAAGTCCTGTGCAGTTGCGGATAGAGCCGTCAACTGTATAGTTGATGTGGGACGGTCGTAATGTCCGGGAGTATTACTTAGCCAGGAGGTTAGCGGCGTCACCGTCATTATTGGTCGGGCCGTTAGGGCCTAGCAGTTGAGAAACTCCAGTTTTGGCTTGATGAAGAGAGGCTGCGTAACGGAATCAGCTTTTCGGATTGGGAATAAATTTATCCATAAGCTTTAACTGGTACTGAAGCCTGTCTTCTCTTATAGCCTTCGTACATAAGTTCCTCATATGTTTGTATTGCCTGTACTCGCCATTGTTGTTGGTTCGTTTGTATTCTGCCCAACAGTGTTTTTTACGGCTTAGCAAACGAAGAGTGCGGTTTTTGATGATTGTAGGTTGCATGTGGCTTTTGAGGACCGCTTGAGGGACTGACTGCTTTGTAGCACATAAGAGCGTGTGTAATAGGAAGTTCCAATGAGCATCCACATCAAGTTGAGTGTGAACACCCCAATGCACCTGTTGTAGATAGTCCTGTAGAGCTGACTCATTCAACCGTTTGAAGTTCCAGCGCCTGTTGTTGTCGGGATATCTTAGCTCTGTTTTGCTGACGAAACTGAAGGCTATAACGGCGTGATAGCTTTTCTACAGGGGAGCCAGAATTGAGAAGTTGTCGACTAGAAATTCTTCATTTATAAAAACACAGTCTAAGCACGACGGTGTCTGACCGTTCCTCCAACGAGTAGCCAACTTCACATTTTCGTGTAGTCCCAAATTCTCAATGAGGTTGAAGAACCGAGCTTTGATTGAATTTTCACCTCCAGTATACGTATGTTCCGCGAAGTTGACTCTAGGGAGATCGAAGTCCCCTAGGATCAGGATATGAGTGAAGCCGAGACGCGTAGAGCGGGATATTCCTTCCAGCATGCGACTGTCATACTCGATGTCGGCAGTGGGCTTCCTATATATGACTCCGACTAGGCACCTCGAAGTAGTGGACAATCTCATAGAGCACCATATGGATTCCTCAAGATTGTCAAACTCATGGTTGTGAACTTGGTGTACCTCCAAGCCAGATCGTATGCATAGGGCTACTCCACCCCCAATTCCTGTTTTTCTGTCATTGCGAAGCAGAGCCATCCCAGGTATTGCTAGCTCCTGGTCCGAGTACTGAGGAGATATCCAAGTTTCAGATATTCCTATCAGATGAACCTTATTAGCGTTGCTGAGTTCACTTAGTTCATCCATTTTATTTGGTAGACTCACGGCGTTCATGTATAAGCAGTTAATGCTTTCAATTTGAAACGCGTGAGCTTCTTCCTGTTTGTCTGTGAGAGCCTTGCGTGAGTGGACAGGTAACTCACCTATACAAGTTTTGTCGAATTGGTAGGCTTTGTCCTTTACACGATTTTTTTTATCTTGAAGACAGTCCACAAGTGGAATGGTCAGCTCCAGCTTGCCTTTGGCATCATATGGCCTGTCCGGGTGCATGTGGATTCCAGTTGGCAACCGACGTCTGTTGACATGAAATGCTTCCAGAGCTGCAGCCGCCATATGGGAGGATGGAAAAGTTATCCTCATTAGTCGGGGTCTAGGATCCCCATCCTTCTTGGCTAGTCCCATCACATGCTGAGACAGTATGTTTTTAAGCCTCAAGGACTGTTTGACGAATTTCCATTCCCGAATATCAGAGTTTGCTTGAATAGGGTCAATGTTTTCCGGTACACCTTGCACGATGATATTTCTTCCTCGGAAAAATTTCTCTCGAGAATCTTTAGGGACGTTCCGGATGAGATTGCGCTCAGAGTACGGTATGTCGGGCAGTATTCTGACGTTCCCATCGGATTTCTGTAGATGACTAGCTAGCAGGACGTCCTCTACTTCGGTAGCATTCCTGAGTGTTACACGAAGTAGTCTCGGGTGATTTTGATGTTTAGATTCCTTTCCCCGAGTGAGCCGTGTGACCGTCAAAGGCTCTATTCTAGGAAGTTCGAGCTTTTTGTTCAGTTCACTCCAGAGCATCCTGTCGTTTTTGTCCTGCAAACTGAGAGGAAGGTCAGGATTGTCTATGAGGTTCATGATTATGAGCGAGTCGTCACGGACCGTTGTTGTTTTCCCAGGTTTATCGGTGCGTTCAGGTTCAGTACGTTGTTGCTCGGAGGTCAAAGCAGGTTTTTGAGTCGTAGGCTTTTTGATAACCGGGCGGACGTTTTTGGGGGTAGACTGAGCGATCAAGGCACCAGTTGATGTTCATACAACACTTGGGATGTCAACTTTAGACGGTGACATCTGGTCTTTATTAGCCCTGTTTACGTGGGTACAGTAACTTACAGGGTTTTTAGGAACCACTGTTGCGTTTAAGGACCCTGAACTGGGAGATCCAAGTTTATTGAGGGAGTCAATTACCGTCGACGTAATGATGGTGCTGAGTTTCAACATTTCATCATTAGTGCTAATGTGTGTTCCATCGATGGTTGACTTATTAACATCCCTATTCTTAGTTTCATTGCGCGCCCTTGTTTGTCTACCTACTTTATGGCTATCTGATTCCAAGTTTACTGACAGTTTGTTCCGCAAACCTGTCAGTAGAACAATGATGTTGCTCAGCAGTACTACAGCGTCCGTGTTGCACGTAACGCACACCCACTTACGGTCCGAGTTGCTGAGTCTCTTGTAAGCAGTTGCTGTAAGATCTGTGCATGTCTCGTGGTGCCAACCTTTGCAGTTGTCGCACTGCATGCCAGATGTAACAGCAAAACGGCATCCAGGTCGTTTGCATGAATTTTTCATGGCTGTATTGACGTAAACTGTGTTAGAGATAGTATCGAAGCTTAAGACCGTTAAAATACACAAAAAACCACACTAAAAACGGGAAAAAATGTATGAAAACGGATGAGATAAAATGAGCTAGCCTTTACGTGAAAAACTGAAAAAAAGACCGAATAGTAAGCTGAGGCAAAACCACAGTTAACAATTAAATTGAGCGAAACTCAGAAAAAAAGTAATCTACCGAACTTAAAGCTCAGAATAGATTGTTTAGATCAGAAATGGTACTTTTGTTGCGTAAGAACACAGCAAAAGTTTGAGAAATACAAACGACGTTAGGACTAAACTTCCCGTTCGAAAAGCGCGTCAATAGAAAATCTTTTCCAAGTTGCGATGATCAGTTTATGAAAGTTATAGGATTATTCTCACTTTTTTCACTGTTGTAAAGCCAATCTAATCTCTGAAGAAGCTTGAGGTAACCTATCCAGCTGCTAAACTTAAGTTCCTTTGAATTTGATTTGTTTATTAGGATATATATGATCTAACGACTATTAATAAATGACTCACAATTCATTCGTCTGCTTGGTTGGGTCTACTAAAGTTTTTAACCTGATGATGTTCGAAAAATGGAAGACCAAACACAAGCAAAGAATAGAATTAAATGACGGTGGAAAAATCTGTATTTTTACTCCAACTAGTTTAGCGGCTGAGTGGTTTACGTAAAGTCATGCGTAGCATTTTAGTTTCTGTTCAGTGCAATGTACTGAATAAAGCCTTGGATGTAAATAAATTTTCGTAACAAACAGGTTTTTGAAAAGTGAAATATTGGCTCTGATCTAAGTTTTGACGGAAACTATTTGTTAAAAGCATAAGCTCAAGAATCAAAGTCGGGAGCTGAGTGTCTTACTTAGTATACTTCTCCACTTTTAGACCGAATCGGAGTTATTTTCTTCCGATTGGTCGTTACTTCTTTTCACGAATTGAGACTGAGTTGAATGAGAGCTTATATCAAGCATCGTATGGAATTCGTAGTCATCGTATAAGTGAAAGCACAAATACCGGGTCTGCCTACAGTTGATATTACTAAAACACGATACAAACGCCTTCCGAAATTATCTGGCAGTTGAGCGAAAATATATTCAACAAACTTGTTGAGCGGACATTATTTCAATAGTGATGATCAATCCTTTCTGCTGGAAAGTCATTGACGAAACACTCAGGAAAATTCATTATATTACTGCTAACATTTTCATGTCCAATGTTTTGTTGTTTCAAGATATTTGAAAACAAGATGAGACTGCATGGTCATATGTCTTAAACCAAGAATAAAGTCTCCTTAGTGAAACATCTGTTACGCTTTTCGTCTTCAACTCCATGATCGAGGATGAATGAATTTGGGTTAGAACTCTAGTACGAATGCTTTTATTGTGTATCTAAGCAATTGAATTAATCGCGTACAGTAGTGCTAATAAGAATCGTAATATAGCAGGATTAATTGGACGCAAATGAATTGAAATAATAGTGGTTACTGCAGTTGAGGTATCCATGTCCTCATGAAGAATGAAATACAGTGTAACTAGCTATCCCAATTCCCGAATAAGGGTCAGCAAACGGACAGTGACATGGGAATCTGTTTTTTGAAAAATTACAACGATTTAACTTACTGACAACAATATTAGCATGACTTCAACTACAACTGTTTTTGTCATATATTCTCACTGACCCTGAGTTCCAACCAAAATCTGTAAACCCAGACACAATGCAAACCAAGAACAAGGCGCAAATGCAGAGATACTGGGCCGAAAAATAAAATGTTAAAGCGATCAAACAAATTCAATGGTATTGAAACCTTAGCTCCCTTGACAGTTGTGCCAAGTTAACACCTGAACTCGATTTCCTTATTATTTATTCGGATTTACACTGGAAAACACTAGAATCACCAACAATTATATTAAAGAAATAACACTGAAAATTCACAGTATATGACTTATAATGACATGAATCCAATATTCTACGATTTAAGTCTATTTCGTAACGAGTACGGATTCTCTGATGCGTCCTGTTAACATTTCTCAAATATTAATAGATCAATATATCAATAAAATATTATCAATAAAGAGGTAACTAGACGACAAACTGGATACTATACGGATTGACATGCGAAGTAACCGACTTAATCGTGCCACTGAATATGAATTATACAACAAAATTGAGGCAATGCAACTGACCATCACATACTCTGCCAGATATTATATTCTAAAATGAATATACGGGTGTGTGGGTTGGACATTTATGTAACGGAGATTGTAATCTTGCTACTGTTTATTATTACGGGCAAAATTAAACGAATCTTGCAGCCAAAATATTTTAAAGAAATTATAAAAGGTATCACTGAGCAGTTTGATAAACGCAGATGCCACAGATATCTAGTATTAGCCCGGACCCTTGTCCGCAAAACCTTTGTAATCGAAAGATACCAACCCAGTCAAATCGAATGTCAAGAATGAGTGAGTTTAGAGATATGTGTTGGATGGCTCTCAACGTTTTCAGAAGCGTTTGATATAAGCTGGCTAGTAGGTGCAAGAGACACGTGGCACAGAGCATCCAATTGTCATCTGGCTCGGATGCGTAACCGAGGATCTTCAGCTATGGTGTATCTAGTAAAACTAATAAGTTCGGCATCAATGTTGGAAACCTACAGAACTATTTATTTCGGGGATTTATTTACCAGCTTGGACTTTTAGAATTAGGGTTAAGGTACGTATTCAATCTAACTTTTGTGCTTTAATAACTCGCTTATAAGATCGTTCATTTTGAGGACAGTAGATTTCAGCCGTTATATTGTCTTAAAATTTTTATCTTAAAAGGGCCTATTACGATAGTAAAGTTAAAGATTTTTTAGCTGAACATGATACGTTGTGTATTACCTTGAATTTATCTTGTGGCAACACACAAATTGTACGTATGTCATGAACTCTCAGTGAAACCTAACAGGATAAAATCTTTGAATTGATCCCTAAGGTATGGCAACACCCGAAACTTGTGTGAAATCAGCAACTACTTTTATGAATAGTGATAATTTAGTGTTCATAGTAACGTGCCGTTCTACAGAAACGTTTGCCTGAGTAAAAGGAGGAAAGTAGGCTTTTTCGATTTGTATTTACTAAAGTCTACCAACTGTAATGTGGGCCGAAACGCCAGTTCACATCCATCTAGCGGCTCAAATTTGGACGGTGGATTTAGGTTATCCTCCTCTTCGAAAAGATGCTACCTTGACTGTTTGAATATATACCATTCCAAGTTCTTTTTCGAGATACGGATATTTATAACGAGCCACTTAGTCACTATAACTTTTTCAGTTGTAAACCGATAACTTGCAAATCTTAGATGTCAAGTTGATAGTTTTCAGAACTTCTTTAAACTTATGGACGCATTAATCAGAATTAAATGTACATTGGTTACTAAACTCACTCGTTGTTGAACCCAATAAACAAAAAGACAAAGACCATGATATTCAGACTTCTTTTAGTAATATAGGTAATAAACTGAATGAAGGCAAGCATGGTACAGAAAAATGTTACAGGACAAATGTTAGAGTATCTAAACATGATTCCTGTAATATTTATTCCATAATCGGTTACACAAACATAAGTCAGTTTAAAGTTTATATAGATTAAATAAGGGACAGTTATTTGCCTGGTTTCGGCTAATCAGTTAAGATTTCTCCTTGAGATAGTTGGCTGAGTTTAACTGGTAATAAGACGACCATGTCTTTAGCTATTCTTAATTCCTCACAATCCTTTATCGGCGTCAAGGCATTACGTTTTATATGGTTTTCTGCAAGAGCGACCAGCTGTACATAAAATTCTAAAGCCTTTGTTAAATTTCGGATTTTCTCTGTAGTACAGGTCGAAATAAGTTGAGAATAGAGCCGAGCAGTATGAAGACATGTCACCTGAAAAAAAGAACATTTGCTCAAATATTGTTTTCTGCATGGCCATTTCAAATATCTCTAAACAATTTTATTCCTATCTTCCTCGATGTGATTATAATTAATATCAAAACTTAGTGGTAGAGCCTCAGTGCTCAAAGGTATTTAAAGCTACTAAAGGGGATGAAGGATTTGCATAAGCTCTGTTGTATAAACTACAAAACATATCATTATTCGCTAACAAATACACGTGTTCAGTTATGCCTTTGTGTATCACAATTGATAGAAAATGTACTATGCACTTCCTTAGTTTTCGAACTTACGCGACTGATTTCACTTTTATTGTAGTACTGGGTTGAAACCATCACTGTATTTACTTCTAGTTTCAATTCTCAGTTTGTCTCAATCTGGGGCTTGTGTGCGCTAGATAAGTGATCAGCTCACCCTTTAATTCTTTCTCTTACAGCTGCCTTCACTCACGTGCTCACCTAATACACAAAGTACCTTCTCGCAAGATACGAACCGCTACCTTGTCTGTCCCACTTGCTTTAGACAATCTACGAACATCTCACGTGTTTGGCTTTATTGAATAGCATCTGTTGCTGTTGTTAGCATTTCTGTTTGAACTAAGGAATACGTGAGGACAAGTAGATGATATTCTCAGTTTATTATTAGGGGCGAAATGATACTAGTAGCAGTAGTCGCACGATGTATCCGTGTTTTGAAAATCAGGGACTTCAGTACGACACTGCATCTTGTTGCAACTGTGTCATCGATATCTTACGTTACTCTCATGTGCCTGCATAAATAATTTTAGTCCGCAGCTACCAGCCACATATCGTTACAATTATTCCTGATTTGTAAACCACCTCATAGGGTACATTTTATTTACACTTCGATTACTTAAGCATTTATACTGATATATTAAGTTAAGTACGCCTAAGAATAATATCCAGATCTTATGTCGGAGTCGCAAATAGATTTCAAAAGTTTTTTAGGTTGGATCCCAGTTTTATGAAATACGAAAACATAATCCACATGCACGTGACTTACGAACGAGAAGTTTAGTCCTAACGTGAATTGCATACCTCAAACTTTTGCTGTGTCCTTACGCAACAAATGTACCATTTCTGATCTAATGAATCTGCCTCAGCTTTACGTTTGATAGATTGCTTTCTAAGTTTTGTTCAACTTAATAGTTAGCTGTGGTTTCGCCTCAGCTTACTATTCGGTTTTACAGTTTTTAATATCAAGGCTAGTTTCAATTTATCCTAACCTGGTGTACCACCAGTTTTTATCCACCTTTATCCATTTTTATTGTACTGATTTTTTTGTTTTATGGTCGTAAAATTTTACTGGGATCTACATAAGAATTTAAGTCGTTATAGTCATGAAGAATTCATGCAAGCGACCCAGTTATCGTTTTGCTGTTATATCTGGCATGCAGTGTGACCATTGCAAAGGTTGGTTCCACAAAGCGTTCACAGACAATACAGTAACCGCCTACAACAAACTCAGCAAGTCGGATCATAGGTGGGTATGTGTCTCGTGAAACACGAATGCTGAAGTTTAGCTGAGTAACATCATTCTCCAGATAGGTTTGCGGAATAATTTGTCAGCGAACTTGAAAAAAGGAAGTCCTAAAACGGGTATACAAAAAAGACGCACAGTAAAAACGAGAAGATGGACCTCGACAGTGGTACTACCGACGGAGCATGTAATAACAATGGTGAGGACATGCTGAAACTTAGCACCATCATAATATCGACGGTACTAGACTCCCTCAGAAGACTTGGCTCCCTAGCACATGATCTCCGAATGAAATAGTGGTTCACAAAAAGGCTGTAGGTGATTGGACCCCGTTAAAAAGTTAAAAATGACAGGGCGTCATCGTCAAAGAAGCTAAACATCCCAAGTATTGTAGTGAAGTCAAATGGTGATTTGGCCGCACAGTCTACCTCAAAAGTATCCAAACGGTCAGCAAAGAGCATAGGAATCGGAAACACGTCTCGACTTCCAAACAACAAGGTACTCAACCTGAACGTGCCCGGAAGCTTGGGAAAACAATAATGATTCACAATGATTCTCTCATAATCATGATGGAGATTCTAGACTCCGGATGATGAAGATAACTTTCCAAAACTCCCATATGCATACGATTTTCTGTGCTACAAAGTAGTCTGTCCGTCAAATGGTCCCCAAAATCTGCAAGCGAACTACAATCATCAATAATCGCACTCTTCGTTTACGAAGCCGCAAAAAGCACTGCTGGGCGGAATACAAACGAACTGGTAACAACGGTACATAAAGGCAATACAAATATATAAGGAAAATATGCGCAGACGCAATAAGAGAAGACAGGTTTCAGTAGCAGATAAAATTTGTCGATAAATTTTTCCAAACTACAGCTACGACTTATGCGACACCCCTATAGAAGTATCCCAAGTTAAAAAAGCTTTAGAAGCGCTGTTACCCTACAGTTTAAAACCTTACGCTGTGAAAAAAAATGCCTGTCGAGAAAACCTTGCACTAGTAAAATTAAAGCGCATTTTTGGCCAGTTTGACCGAAGAAATGTCCACACAATCTTCAACAGTTTTATTTGACCCCATTTAGAGTACGGAAACAGTATTTCCTCCCTCACTCCAAAAAGATAAGGACACTCTGAAACAAGCCAAGAAATGAGTTCGGGGACTCAACTTCAAGCGTAATGAAGAGCGACTCTAATCACAACAACTTTACCCATTACAGTACAGAAATCTTAGAGGTAACCTAATGGTTTATGGCATACATAACACTTCTGGACATCCCGTTAAACACGTACTTAAGTTTAGCTCCAACACAAACCTAACGGGTAACACCCAGAAACTTGAGACACAAGACAACAGAACAAACTGAAAAAACACCTTCTACTCCTTAAGAGTTATCGAATGCTGGAATTTGCCGCAGGACGAGCCAGTCCAAACGACTTCCCAGGAGTCCTCTAAGAGAAAAATTTACATATTCTCAAGGACTAAGGATGTTATATTACAATGATCTACCAATTCCTTTTTCCTCTTTCATCGATAATACAGCTAGTTTCCTGCCTGGAGGTATTGATGATTCACTGCTACATGACACGGAAGCCCGTTAAGCGAAAGCTTCTCTTATTCTGTTCACAACCATCTGAACCATTTTAACTGAAAACCCTGGCCTAACACTAACAAAACTCTCAACGAGCTGTTTAAACTAATTTTGTATCTCTTTACTAATACTTATCAGTTAACTAAAGGCATCATTTAAATAAATGGTCGTGAAGTAACTCTTAGCCACAGCAATAACCCATCATATTCGATAGCATCTAACGGTTATTTAACGAAGTAATTATGTTAGTCACTTATCTACAGAACTCATAAATCACTTCCGACAACTTTCTTAAAAGTGACACAAACTTTTTTACTTCTAGTTGATTAGTTTAACTGTTCACCAGAATAATATTCTCGTAAATTAAATATACGCGTACATTTTTTTTCACTGGTATACTGTTCGCTACTATTATGAAGAATAGTTAGAAGCAAGGCAAACTATAATATCATAAAATCGGTATCACAAAGCTGACTGTTGAATTCAAACCATAATATTTAAACATAGTTATCCTTCAATAAAATTCCTTTTGAACACAAATGCTTAATATAAAGTAATGTTAGGACAGAGAAACTGACTTTTAAGTTGTTCGAATATTCCGAATTACTATATTAATTTTCGATACAAACTGAGTTGAAATTTGTGCAAAATTCCTTCATTATCATTAATTAAATAAGGACTGGTGAGGATGGAAGCTCGATCTAAAATTATTTGTCATCACGAGAAGAAATCAGCCAAAGAATCACTAGAGACCATGTATAAGTGAACAACCCTTATCAGGAGTTTGCATACGTTGGATTCGACCACTACTAAGTGAGACAGATGCAGCAGAAAGCACAAAATGGTCACTGTGCAATATCATAAACTAACTGAATGTAGAAATGCCAGTTTTCGAGTTCTAACTCAGCGGTCTGAATCTAATTTACTCGTTAGGTGACCTGAAGAAAGTAAATTTACCTCAAATGGCGTTATCGATGCAATACTGTTTATTTGGAAACTAGGGTTAAATATCAGTAAGGCTCCCCTTGGTTTACAGTGGTATACCGCTGATTTTGGTACGTAGTGAAAAAATCTAAATTTGTTTGAATATCTTCAAATTCCTTTCCTGAACAGTTAAAAGACCAACTTACGATCAGTGGTTTTATATCATCGTCACTGAAATTTATTGTCGTCCCAGACGTAACTCCATATAATTCTAAGAAATTTCGATAAACAGATATTGCACGTTTTGTAAGATCATCTGATTTCCGCGCATAGTGTGCTGAAACTTGACCTTCTTTTAGTGGGATCTATTGAATAAGTATATACATACATGTGTGACATTAGTTATTATTCATTAGTTTAAGCAAAATACATAGTAATCACAATTACATCGGAGACATGCTAGTGTCTTACAATCGAGTAAAAGATCATTCGAGAGACTATCCGTTCAAGCTTTTAAACATCCTAACTATTAACTAGGAATTTCTACCCTCTCAGATATATTTTGAGTATATTTCAGTCCAGTTAATTGGTTAATAATATAAATTCACTTGTTAAGTTATTTTCAATATGAATGGATTGAAAATTATGTTTTTATAAATTCTTGTTTTGGCTTTAGATGGATATAACTGAAAACGACACTGGTTACCTATTTCTTGTTTGAAAATCTTCACTTGTTGTCTATATGACATCATTCACTACTAGTATTTTGTATCATCCTCTAAACACTATTCAATGAATTTAAAATATTATTCCAACTGCTCAGATGAACAATATTTTTTAAAACAAATATATTATTGAAATACTTGTTTATGTCTTAAGAGGGATTATTAAGATACAATCTCTCCAACACCTACTTTTCAGAATGCAAGTTTTATCCTTCTTTCTTCAATGAATGATCCTATTTCTTGCACTGTCTGCCGATTTATTCCAGATATAGTTATAGATAATATACTGAATTCGTTGGATTCTATAAGGACAGTCATTTCAATGTTACAAATTCTGTAAAATGGCTAGTGTGTCACACTCAGTGAATGCATCAGAGCAGTTCAAAACAATCCTCTTAGCAAGATACAAATTAAAGAAATTAGAAAATTATCATAACTAGAGAAAGGGTAATTCTTAATTAAGACTTCTTATATAAACTACAAATTTACAGATTAAACAGATTTTGTAATATATTACTCTAAAACTCTTCAATAGCACACGTTTATTCATTATTCAGCATGAATTTTAATAACATTTCATATCTTTAAATTAATTTGCTCTGTCACAAATATTGAAGATTAGGTCATGGTACTAAAAGTAAATTGATTTTACAAGGGAATCCCAAGTTTTGCTGGCACAACACTGTAAACGTACCAGATACATCTAGGTTGTTTTGTAATATTCAACAAATCAATGTATACCATGAAAAAAATGTTATCCAGGAAAATGCTTAAGAATGTACTGGTATTATGGATGAAGCGAAATAGAAAAACCGAAGACCAGATTCATATCTGTGTTACTCGATGGTACTAGACATCACTAGAAAGAACCTGGAAATAAATGTGTAAAAGGAAAAATTTTCCAACCATTTTACTCAACATAACTCCGCTTGGAGCCCTTTAAGGGTTCCTGCTGGTCCCAAGACCATATAAAGGAGGTTTTTGCATGTGATTAACACACCAACTCCGTAAGGGACAATGAAGGACTAAGAGGACCATTTAAGTTACTAAGGAAATAAAATAATATAGCTTGAAGTTTCTTGGAATATGTGAGACCCCAGGACGCAAGAAGGATAGAATAGACTAAACACTAGAGAGTGATGTAGTCATAAAGAAGATGCCTTGTAAACAAGGAGTTGGACTGATGCTGTGCAAAGAATTACGAAAAGAATAGCTCCAGGATAACTAAAGCATTCTTTAAAAAGGAGGAAAAATTGCAATGTATATTATTGAACGTAACATGACTAATAGTGGCATCAGCAGAAATTATAAAGGTCAGTTTTTTTGAGGTGATGACGAGAGGACAAAATGCTAAGGTCAGGATGGACAGCACTAGATATGGAGATGTCATAAAGCAACATGGACTGGGAGGAACCAATGAGAATAATGATTTTCAAATCTATATGCTTCCAACAAAGTGGTATTATATGACACCATTTTCTCCCACAAGCCCATATACAAACCCAAATGAGTTTCATCAGATAAGACCACACAGAATCAGATCGATGACAACTGACATGTACAGAAATGTAGGAGACCTAGCAAAGACAGATAAATCGCCGCAAGGGAAGGAAATGCGGCATCACTATGTAAAACAACAAAGTCAACAGAATTTAATATGCATAGTAAGATAAAAACGTAAGAGTGATAAATACTCAGTGACCATTGTCAACATTACTCAAGTTCATTAAAAAAAATCAGTTATAAAGCAATATGTCCAACCAACCTCATCCAATAGTTTCCTTTTCAAATCACGTAATGTACCCAAAGCTTCTGCTAGTTCGAATGTTAGCTGGCGACATACGTGTAAGTAGTGATCAGGATTTAGTTGTCCTAATACATTATTTAACATGTCTATTCGTCGTTTATGCATACAACACTAGAAATTTTAAGAAAAATAATGTAATATATAGCAAAAGTTATTCATAGGAAGTGTATAGATAACCTTTGTACATGAGTAACTCAATATTGCAAAAAATCATACAAAATAACCCGATGATAAATACTGGAAAACTTGAACAGAAATAACACAATTACTGGTACATCTTTTATTCTTCCTTATCTTTAGAAAAAACTAGAGATGAATACATTGGAAATTATGTATCTTATGTATAACAGAAGGAAAAGGTAGTTATAGTAGATAGCTGAGCTTGTCAAAGACTTTTGTGATTAAAGATGGAAGAGGTATATTGACTACTGGAAAACATTTATAAAATATATTTTCGAATGATTACAATTTGAATGTATGCCAAAAAGAAGTTTGCTGAAATATTTGGAAATTGATGTTAGGATTATTCTACTCTAACAAAATTTATTGTATTGTATAAAGCTATCTTTGTAACATAAGTGTCCGAATTAACAGTACTGGTGAAATAAGAAGGTGACATAATTCATTTATCAGTAGATTAAAACATCTTATTAATACAAAATTATATTTCCATCGGTAAAACACTCAGCCAATAAGTTATGAGTTTAATATTGTTGTATACAACGTACTTAGAGCAATCTGCCAATATTCCTATCTCAGATTAGTAGGCAAATTTAAACACTGTTAATGCATTTTACTGACTGTTATCATTACTACTAACATTTTTGTTGGAAATTAATGCTCTTCAAATTATCTAGAATGAAGAAAGAGTGTGATACAAGATTTATTTACAAACTAGTGACGCATAATCATTAGTATCGATATTTAGTCTGATAACATAAAATAAATATTTGAACTTAAGAGGAGATTTCCACATTTTGTTTGAAATCATAACAAGTACTTTTCAATAGATATCTGGTCAAATGAATTTCTGATAATGAGATCGGAAGATAGTTGGATGCTAAGAAGTGGTCAGGTTATCTAGGATTTTTATTAAGTGTTAGGTCTCTCACATAAGGATGAACTTGATGACATTTTCCTAATATTTACTGTCGCTTTTAGTTTCCTTTGTGATTCGCATCACGACCTTTCTTTGAAAAGCATAGTTATTCCCTACCAACTTCAGACTTCTTAACAGAACACAAAGTTTTCCTGAAAAACTCGTCTTTTCTATTCCTATTAGGATGTGGAGTATAAATGCGGAAGTGTTGTTGTATGAAAAACATCTGGTCTATTCGAGTCCCAACCTGATAAGTTGTATTAGAAGAACCCTTAATCATTCATGAATAGAAGTTACCGAAGGCCGACCGGCAACATCTATAGGTTAAACATTTTTTTCTAATGCTTAACATTGAGAAGAAACAAAATGACTACATTCGAGAATAAGGTAATCACTGGATTACAATCCGGTGGCTTAAGATTTATGTGTTTGCTAAAAACGTGTAATTCTCAAGTTAAACGATTGAATAATTCAATTATAGTCCTCTAAAAGATCCTGAAGTATGATAAATTAAGAATTCATTGCTTGTTATTCTTTAATTTTTGTTTCCTGTCTGAAGATTTTCAATTAACTCATTTAAGGTCTAAGTATAAATAAACAAAATGGTTAAAATTTTAGTTACTGAGAAATATAACTTTGGAATACCACAACACAATCGTAAATTAAATGTGTATGAAATATAAAGTAAATCTAATCTCCACAAATTTAAAGATGACAGTCATAATTACCTGTCTATTGATGTTCTTTTCGAAAACAGTCATCAGGCGATAAGCTTTACTTCGATCTTGAATCAAAGTAATTGCATCTGTGCAATGATTTTGTAGTGTATAGAAATTTTCAGCTTTCATTAAACAATTTAATATAATGCGAAATATTCCAGAAGCTGTTTCATAATTTGTAGGTGGTCTAACTAACTTGTAAATTAAATCGTTATTTCGTGGAATCACATTTGAAATTGGATTTTTTACATTCAAATTATAGTTTAATAATCCAGTAAATATTGGTTGTAGCTCCAAATTAAACATTGATCCAAACTTAGTAACTAAAAGTAAATATTCAGACAGAAGTATACTTTTTTCACCAAATAAATAACAAAATACTTTTCATTAAAAAGTTATGATTACTCACTGCTTGCTTCAAGTGACTTTAACTCTATAAACTTTTGTCTATTTATTTGTGAACAGCTCCAAATTGTACGTTTAGTCTGAACTGTTACTTTCCAGTGGCACGCTCTTCAGCGGAAAATGGAAATTTGAAAACACATTATTATTATTATTATTATTATTATTATTATCTATGAATGTGCGTAAGTTTGTTTCATCATGCACTGCATTCAATGGTACGAATAGTCTCAAGTTAAAGTTACCAATTTTGAGCGTCTAAGTTTGTTTATCTTCGTATTAAAATGTTCAACTCAGAAACTGTTAACTGGATATATAGTATGCTTAACCCTAATACATAGTAATATCCGTATCCTCATACGAAAAATATTAAACCAGTCAATGATGACAGTGAAAAAGGAATACATAAATAACTATAATAAGTATGAACCGATCATATTACAGGTGTAGTAATTTTTATATTCGCAATAAGTTTTGTTGTGACTTTATGTCCCGCTAGTTATCACGTGATTTATCCACCAATCGAAATATGACAATACAGTCTTCACGCTGTGCTAAACCAATGACATCCGACCGGTATAAGCAGCCTAGCGTCCTTATTGGTCCTTTGTTTACCTAGCCCGCCCTGTTGAGTCCAGAGCACGAATACAGCTTCCATTATGCGAATCATTTATTTCAGACATACTGGGTTTATATACCAACCAAACAGACCGCAACGTACCATAAAATATGAAATAACATTCATACACAATAAAACCAAAAAGTGGTTGTGAACGTGGGAGACAATAATCAACAAACTGAGTGTAATTTGAGAACAGTAAATTGTACAATAATAACCTACAGGTCAAAACGAAGCTTACAATAAGATGAAAATAAATATACATAATCTAGTTACTGAATAGTTATACAATAAAAATATACAGATGATATTAGTCAATTAATATGTCTCAGAAGTTACTCGTGATTTAATCTTCGCTAGGATATAACAAGTTTGTAATCCCTCTTTTTATTTGGCTGAAAAAAATTGGTAGACAATTTTACTCATTCTCCCTACCTTATGTTTATTTTTTCTCACTCTTCGAAAATCTCAGCTTTACCACTTACATACTTAAAATGATTCTTCGCGCACTTTCTGTTCTGACGACTCTTGTTTTACTAAGTATACTTTCTTAATTTTTTTGGTTGATTCCTGTGAAGAAATATTTGTTCATGTTATCATCCAGTTTATTTTCCTTATAATTGCTAATATGCATGTTATTCTACTAAAAATTAGTGTTTTTACCCAGTACGATTGTTATGTAATCCTTTCGGTCGTCATCACTAGCTTCCAAATTGCCTTGATCGGTATAGTATTGCTCATATACGGATAGATTTTACTGATCTAACTAAAAACATTATTGTTTAGTTATATGTATTATTCTGGTTAACACAATGACAATTTTTATTACTTTAAAACCAACTTTCTCCAAGTATGCCTAATTGTCCAAACTGGATTTTAACTATTTAAATAAACATGAACCAAACACTATTAACCAATGATTTAGTTTAAATGAAACTGAATGCGTACAGATGATTTGTGCTTTATATACTTGTTAATCTACTTGAAATGTACAACTAATTCTTCATATTTATTAATGTCTATAACTGATGTGTCGTAGAAAGATTCCATTTAATACCAATTACTAACTTACCGTTTTGTAATTCCTGATATTTCTTAAACTCTGCATCTTCACTGGTTATTCTTTCATCAGCTAAGTTTCCATATTGTTTTGTACCTTTCTCAAGTAGATCAAGACTGATCTTTGCTAGATTACGATAAATGTTTGCTAAAGTATTGTCTACATCACTGGATGGAATGTTGCGTTCAAACCTAGCTTCTTTCACAACACTAAAACAGAGTTATTTAACAACAAATAATTTAGTTTGCAATCTTATTTTCCCAATAAATATAATAATTTGTAGTCTTTTATTTACTGAACAAAATGTAACTTTGTAAAATGAGCGCTGAACTTAGTATTATTCTCCATTGGCTTACATTGTTTGACTTATCATTACATCATACACAATTTAATATCCGTAAGTGTAGAGAGAATTTAATAAAGTTATTAACCATTCGATTTGCAGGTATCACAAGACTATCTGCTACTTTAGATTAGAATTAAATAATGATTTTTTAATTGCAATCCAAAATAAATGATACTGTACTCATTGAAGAATTGTTTGATTGCTTAATTTGCCACAATAAATTGCACTTAATAATGAGGAGACTTAAATCTTGTGTACTGGATATAAATATAATGTAGCTTATATATTTGAGGTGTTAGATAACGAGAAATTATCAAACTATTTAATAAAGTACGATAGAATGAACTGTTTTGAACTTGGAGAATCAATACTAACAAATCTGAAGGGAAGGTTTTTCACAGTTTATGACCAATCGAATAAAAGCTTTTAAAAAGCAAAAATTACTGAGTTGATTTTTCCATGCTTGCTCACAAGTAGGCAGACATTAATCATTTTCAATGAAGTTTAGTATTCGGACAGTTTGAAAAGAATGCATTATTTGACTGGACTAAACTAAATTATGTACCTACCTGTAATCAACTGTAAGTGTAGAACTTTTGTCATAGTAGAAGATAATAATTTTAACGAAAATAGCTTCCCCTAACTGAATGATTCTATCACTGGACTTTTATATGTTACTAGGTATCATCAGGATATGTAATAACATTCTAAGTATAAATTGACGATGTTGTCTGGGAAGCAATGAAGGCTCCACAACTAAGCCATTCAGCTTAGAGAACGTAACTCCATCAAGAAATCAGTTCCGCAATTATTAATTAATCCTTGATTTTCGAATTTTTCTTTACTATGTTCTTAATGGTTGTGTTTTTCATTATCATATAACAAAATGAACAATGTTGGAGAACAAATACCATTTTATATACTGGTTCATAAATAGGTAAGTCATTATTAAATAGATTCAAATACATAAATTTTCTTACTGAACAGCTGATAATAAACATTCGAACGTCTTGTAATAGCAGTTATTTTGATTTTCAACTGATGAGAAATAGTAGCTTAAAGCGATAGCATTTGTAGCCCATTCTAAAGGATCAAAGCTCTGGAAAAGATAATATGGATGTCGTTCAGAAAATTTTCTATTTTCCAAATCTCTAAGTGAATGAGCTGATTTGATACGAATTATATTATTTTGTAAACGAGAAGACTTATTTACAACTTTTTTGAAAGATTTGCCGAATGTCAATTGACGTAACAAAGTTAATTGACAATAATCAGCCGACTGAGCCCGTTTCCCAATTAACTGATGAACCTAAAAGAAATAAAAATTATTTCGTCGGTTTTAACTGGCAAAAAAGCTTATATACCACGTGGTTTGGTTTACATCTAATAGTGTTTTAAATATTTACCTGGAACGGTTCAGCACTTACAAATGGTATGGAAACGAACTCAAGAAAGATCCATTTTAAACAACGAGAATTCTTTACAAGAATTTTGTTTTAAAAAAAGCTTGAGGCTACCGAAAATTTGTTTTGTTGTTATTAACTAATAATACATAATCACTCGCTTTATTTATAATTCGAATACAATATATACACATGCGTTTACAGTCTCTTCCTGGTTTGACCACTGTCCCACTTGTAATTATTACAGTACGTTCCAAATAGATTTAGGAGTCTGTATATCATAAAACACATATTACTATTAATTATTCTAGAACCAAAATGTGTAGGTGAATATAACAATGCAGAATATGTCATTATTTCAACTCTCCTAGATATATTCAATAAGGTTCTGCTGCAGACACTTTTCTCGGGGTGAGATACACTTCTAACGTAATCTTTATTTCTAAAAACAAATATTAAACTATATAATAAACCTACGTTCCTTAAATTAAAACAGTTTGCAGAAAAGTCACTAGTAATGTTTCAGCTAAATAAGTCGGTCATAAAGAAATATATCCAGAACGAAACTTATTCATCCTCAAATAATAGTATCATAATGAGACTGGATTAATTAAGGACACATTTTTAATTGTCTGAGATGGAATTCATAGCTACAAATATAATATAATGGCATGGATTTCTTAAGCAATATTACCTGACCCCAAAGGTAGATGACATTTAGTATAGTCATTTGACAAACACCTACTGATATGATACGCATATGATACCACACATTGTAGCAAAATATTAATATGTGGTAGTAAATAAGACATTCATCAACCCGAGACGCTTGACAGAAATAGCAGCGAACTGTTAAATACAAAATAGATACATTTAGTCCAACAACTATTACAAAAAGAAAAACAATATCAAAACAAACGTTTTTAAGAAATACTACATTTTTAGTGCTATAAATCACAATTTCAAAAATAAACCATAATTCATTTCCCATTAAATCTAATATAAGTTCATTCAGTTTATATATTGTCTTATTTTACGACAGAACACTGATCTACTCTAATAAATTTATATATCACCTCGAAATGAATATATGTTTTCCTTGCCACGAAACCTGACACATACCCTATTGGGATGTTTGGTTCTCTTTACATATTAATAAAAGTCCAGCCTGAACATTAACATATCGATGACTTTTATTGTCACAAAATATTTGATAATGAGGCACTAGCTAATTCAACACACTTATTTTTTCTTGAAAAACTAATAAAGAAAGTTTATTGTCTATTTATTTGACTAAAATGGTAAACATTCAGTCATAAATAACATAGATCTTGATATAAATGTGCATTGCCAAACCAGCATAGTGTAACGAAATCAACAAGGTGAATAGAAAATAAGTCAAAATAGTGTAGTAGCAATAGTGATGAGGGAGACCAAAGAGTGAGAAAATGGGTCAAGAAGAAATTGGAAAGTATATATAATGAGATATAGAGGAAGATAATGAGTAAATTAAACTATTCTACCATAACCCATTTTTGAGTTACCTCGAAAAATTCCTCAACCATTGATAGCAATTTTAAAACAGACCCATGCAATGTAGGCTCCATCTGTCAACCTGACTTAAACCAGATGCCAACGACCCCAAAAACTGGTTTAATTTCTCAGTTTGTCAGAGCCTAACCTTCTTATAATCAACCCCTTAACCAACCAACAACTCGTGTTGAGGTTATCGATGTTTGAGCATTTGCAACACAACTAAATTGATGAAGGTTTGTAACCTCAATAGTCAATGTGCATCATTTGCTTAGCAACCTATGCCTAACACCAGCTTTACTCAGTTGGCCATCTCATGGCACATGAATAATTTCTTGAAGATACCTACGACTAAACAAACACATGAAGCCTACACATATGGTCTACTGTGACCGACCATGTTTCTGATCCGCAGAGTAATACAGCGCAAACCGCTATGTGATATACTATTCCTTTGGTTTCTGGACATAAATCTCGCTGGTCATAGTTAATGCAAGTTGAAAAAGTCAAGCCAGTTTTTTGAATCCATGCAAAATTGATTAAATTGCCAACCCGCCAAAGCTGAGAAAATTTACAATATAAGAAAAGTGGTCAGCATAATCAACTTTACTACTTCTTATGATCAATTCAAACAGTGGCACAGACCAGTCCTAAAGCAATACTTTGAATTCAAAAGTACCTAGACTCGTTTCAAAGATTGAAAGACTGCATTCTGCAAGCTTATTAGCCAAATACAACCAATCATCTAGGTATTGTAGGTCAAGAATCGGACTACCTGACAGATCGATCCCTATAAAGCCATATGAAAAAATATGATTACTAGGAGGGTATATATGGCGATGTAAACTAAGAACAAAGATATTGAGAAATCCTGACAAATACCAATTAAGATTGATATCTCCCATAACAGTTCACGATAAGCTTTGATGCGACCAGAAATGTTTTATTAGAAGCCATTCATAAGGTTTATTTATTTTGCCAGTACATTACTCAGTGACAAACACTGTCATAAAACCCCACGGTCGATGTAATAAAGTGGCATTTTAGGGTGCAGAAATATGAGTACAATCGGGAGTCCTTAAGTGTATCTATTTGAAAACCAGAAGGATTATGAAGACTTAGCTAAGAGATTTTATGGCCAGATATCTAACCGATTTTGCAGACATCTTTATTCCAGAGCTAAATATAGGGGTTGGATGATTGTTAGGGTTTATATTTTAGATATCATATTAGTTAAATTTATTCTTATATTGTTATTACAATGGAATTCTCTACTGCCTTATAAACTGAGAGGGTCAGTGATCGGTACCGGTAACATGAAGTTGAATACAGCTCTTAAAAATTATTTGGTAATCCAGTCAATCAAAATGCTCAAACAGAACCACATTGCTTAAAGACTCATGGAGCCAATATTTAAGTTCCTGTTGTTCCTCACCCCCCCCCAAAAAAAATTTGGACGTGGTCCTTTTACTTCAGATAAGAGTTATATAAAGTGTGTTGATTTTTTAGCCAAGTTCTTTCGAGATGGTGGGTAGCTAACAGTTAGTTAAATTGAGCTTTAAAGTGGCCTTCGGATCGCCCTAAACTCCTGGTCAGATATGATAGTAGACAGATAGTCGACGGTGAAATAGTCAAATATGAATATCTCAATTGTGTGTCCCATTTATCACTACAAACATATCTTAATTTGCTCCAGTAACAACATTCAAAGTAATCGAAATGGTACGCAATTCAGAAAATACCCAAATATTGATTTTGCATGAATAAAAAACGATATCATCAAAATTTAACGAACTTGTGCGAGTAAAAATATGGTCTTTGTGTATTCATGTTCAAGCATCAAACGACAAGCTGATAGATTCTGTTTGTTTAGCCCTCCAAACTTTTGGAATTCATTTAACCGATTTGACTTGAAACGTAATAATGTATCCAGAAATTCTGGACCAGTATTGGGTGGACTTTGCAGTGTATATAGCCTGTAAACCCTTTGAGCACAAGAAAGCCAATGCAGAGGATCCTTGTGAGTTGGCGAAGACTGTTTATTTGCGATATTTGCAACGTGAATGACAGCCAGTATATTGAACAATATTTGCAAAACACCAGCAATCATGTTGAAAAGAACTGTCTCGCTGGATGAAAAAACCTTTATGTCCGATGAACCTTCTCGTAGTCAAGTTTAAAACAAATTTACCTTCGATGGTCAGTTTTTTTATGAGTGAATCTACAGTTAAACAAGTTTCATTTCTATTCACACAAGGATACACGATTTCGTTCGCTTAAGCTTATACATTTATCAGCGTCAGATTTACCACTAAATGTATCTCCGATCTCCAGATAGTTCTTCGCAATATTGATTCTTATGAAACTCCAATAAAAGAAGTGAGTACCAGTTATTATTTTAGGAAAGCGATCTTCGAATTTATGAAGAAGTTCCATGTACTTTTCATGCAAAGCTTCCTTAAGCCTGTTGCGAAAGGAACCTATGTTGCTTGAGACGGTAATATTTTCAAGCGAACTTATATCATAAATTAACCTGCCGTTTTCTTGCCAAAAGTGCTCAACTCGAACCATCGCAAGTTTGTTGTCGAAACAGACTTTGTCGTAATAGTGGATTGAAACAAACTGGTTGTTACTTATATTTAAGTTATGTCAATGGATTGATCTTTTCTTTACTTCTCCTTGCTTATTCACGACTGTTAGCATTTTATGAATTTAACATTTAGTAGGTTTGTGCTGAGAGGGAACTAACTGCGGTAAATAGCATCTAGATAATATATCCAATATCTTTATGATTAGCTTTCATGAACCAACTGATTTATTTGTACCTATTTCTTGTGGTCTTAGCATGATTACAGGTTTTTAGTAGCGTCCGGTGGGTGGTAATTTAACCATTTGATTGTATTAATTCTAGTCGTTTTGGTGGTTATTTATGTAGGTGCATTCAATAGATTGTACACTACCTTCTGAGTTACTTAAGTCCTAACTAGAGATCTTAACTCTGAAGTCGCCACTCGTAGAATCTCAAATTTGGTGTTCGCTGAGAACAAATAGAAGTTTACATTCTAACCAAGGTTTAGAAAGAAAACAAATTAAAGTGTATGATAAGCACACTGCCTCACGGTTTTCTCGACGGAGTTCGATCGTCTAATCCCCGATAGGTATACTTAGCTTGAGTGACATACAACAAACCTTTCGTTCCTCACAGTAGTACCTACCCAGTTGGTACATTCTCAGACTGTGGTTTTGCATAACCTTAGGAACACCTTAGAAGGAATTTTACAACAAACCGATTTATGTCATACATGACGATCCTGAGCATCCCCCATCAGCTATTGTCGCGATTGGGAAAACCAAACTAGTGCACAAACTGTAGTGACCCACTTTTGTCAACAGAACGCGATTGGTTCGATGAAAACAATTATTATTATAACCAATTGTACCACTGACTGTTTTACTGTGCTCGTTTGTTTAACTGTGCTAATGACAGCCATTATACTTACTCTCCCGTTGACTTCGAACTTGTACGAATCCGGTTACGCTCAGTAACCACGCTTGTACTCCTTTGGCACGATCTCGGTATTCTTTCGATACCACGAGATCGCCAACAAATACATCTCGACTACAGCCATCATCTGTCTTCTGATGTTGACCTACGGGGATCTTATTGGTTAATTGGCACGTAGTCTTGTAGCGGTGTTCATAGTCAAGCTCAACTCGACACCACGCTACAAAACCATAACGCAACATTCGGCCTTTATCTAACAATTATAAAAATTTACCATTGATTGATCGCTTGGTGATGATCAATGTCATGTGTGTCAAGTCCCTGTTAGTGAAGATCGAATTCTATCGACCAAGTTGCAAAGTGGCCACTAGTCTAGGTGACTTGACATTGCATGCACTATGTTGAGATAGAATGGTAGTTGAAGGTAGTCAACAAGAAACCCTAAGTGACAAGGAATCAAATCCGTCAGAGAGCATCAATTCCCTCAAGATTACAGGTACACCTTACTGATGAGTGCCAAAAAGCACGAAACCCGGGAGCAGGGTTTCTTGTTGATTACCTCTAATCACCACTCATCAGTTACAGAGTTTGTTAATATTAACGGAATGACGATAACACTCTACTAAACAACAATAATAAAAGTTAATGTCTCCCACACATACCTCAAATATTCTGATTAAATACGGAGTTCAGACACGAATTTCGAATTCCTCGCTATATAGCTACGAACAAGATCACATTATGGTGATACTGGAGCCATAAAACGAGTGTAATGGAAAGAAATTCCCCCATAGTATTTCGTTGGACAGAAAGTCACTTATTTTTCTTCTCCGTGTCGTGCATCTCAACCTCTATTCAGATCGCTTTTAAACGCACGTTGTGTTCTTCAGTCTTGCTCGTCTTTGTTTTTATTATGTGATCTGGTCAAAGACTTAGTTTTTGTTATTTAATATTTCTGTTGACAGCAAGATTGTGTTTGACCAATCCCAAAGTAACGTCGCGGTTCAGTGTGTGACTGTTAATCTTTGACTATCTGCTTGGAAAGATTTCTGGAAGCTCTAAAGTTTGATATCTAACCTCAACTTGTTAAGAAGCTTTTTATTGATTCTCAGGTATTGAACACTTATGAATTAACAATATCTTTTGTCGTTTAGCACGCCAATTTGTGCTAGAGAAACACTTGATTGTACAACACAGGATGTACCGCTTGAAACATTTTGTATTTTTGATATAATTTCTTCTCGTTCTTAAATTGGAACCGTTTAAATTAAGCGCAGAGTTTGTGTTTTGATATGATTTAATACGAGTAACACCAAAACGCTTTGTAAGTTACACAAAACAACGTAGTCTGGTCTAATGAAATAATTTTTGGATCGTTAATTCTGCGTTCAAACCGAACATTGGCACCTTGGTCGTTACGAGGAGTGCTAGCACGACCAAACAAGATCAATGGTACAAAGCCTCACCTTCCTTGATACTTTCTCATCAAACGGTGGTGGTGTAACCTTTTCCTCATTAAAACAATGCTTTCCGACACCTGTGTTACTTGGAGCGATGTTTGCGAATATCGAGAAGACAGAACAAGCACAAGTAAACCACACACAAGGGCATCATGAACTCACACCCGGAGACAGACAAGTCTTACAGCAGTGTACCTAACTGCTCCTGTTATTTTTAGTTGTTTGTAGACTCACATTTGATGTTGACTACGAAGAAGGGTTCACTAACACTGAAGTCACTCAGTGATAAAATTTAGGGAGAAGTCATCTTTAAAACTCTTCTGACTGCTTGTCATTAGGGTTTCAGGACGTCTAAATAATACTTTCACCATAAAAGAGATAGGTTGCGCTTTGTGCCACACATAGTATATCTTGATCCTATCTTGGGAAACGAAATTTCATGAGTGAGATGAGCGCAATATAACTAATCACCTATGGTATCCGCTGTCATTACGAAGTAGTTTTAAATTTTTGCGGTAGAGTTCACTGTTGGATGTCTCACTCTTGATCTAGATTTCAAAGAAGTGTTTGACAGTTACGTATATTATTTCTCTAAGTGCGACACATCTTTACCCCATCTGCATTGTTCTTTCGGCAATAACATGGGGCAAAGTACTGCTGTCGAATTATGGCCATGTTCGGTATTATCGCATTTAACTTTGTTGCCATCATAGTACACCTAGTCCAAGAATTTTAGATATTTAATGACGTCACCACCGAGTCTATAAGATCGTACATGGAAGTTATTTCATAGTCTATTCTGACTCATCCTACGTGTCAATCAGCAATACGATGTTTATCATATGTAAAGAACACTTTTGTGCTGGAGACAGATAATGTATTTGAATGTGAATAGAGATTTGTTACATGGGTGACCACGCCTACAAGGCTGAGTAATGTTTTAACGACCGAGTTCGACATTGTTGACGTGCTCTGAGTGTTACGCATTGAATGCGGATCTCCTCCATAATTATTTGTTCATTTTCGAAGATCATGTGATTGGAAACCAATACCACTACAACGCTTCGAATTGTTTTAAGTTTCTCCATCAATTACTGAGATCCTACTCAAAACTCTGTGAACGTGATCAAAAATCTGGAGTCTTAGTTCAGGACCTAAGCGTTAAGCAGTTGGCTAAAGCAATACTTTTGTAGGCTCCCCCCATCTTTTGCTTACGACTATCAATGTTTTGCCGAAAATTCCACAAGCCTGCTGAGTAATAAACGTTACAATACTTTGTCCTGGTTCGTCACAAAGATATTGAATATTATATTAAGGAACCTATCCAACGATGATCAACCGCACTATCTAGGACTTATTCTCTCTATGCTATGGCCCGCGGCACTTCAAGCACTCTAATGTGCTAAAATGAAAGTAGTTGCTTCACTTCATTTCTTGAGTCAACTTTTGAATTACACATCGAATGATGAACACTCAGATAAATTATACTTTTCCACTGCATACCAAACCTACAGCTAGTGTGACTACGGTCCCTTCAGTGAAATATTTGAAGAGTAAAGTTGATAAATCATGTATGCAGTTATAGTCCACCGTCTCTCTCTTGGAACAACATTCAACTAGGTTTACCAATATCGAAGTGACACTGTAGCGCTTATTCGACCTTCCTACGTCATATCTAGCAATTCGCCTACAAGTACTGCCACTTGAGCCACCTGTTCTCTTCTAACATCTGGTCATATAGTGCTCTTAAATGTATGTCTATTTATGTAGTCAATTAGTTGGCTTCTCTATTTCTCTTACTCCGCACTTTCACTGTATTCCACTTAGATTCTAAATTTTTTATTCTTTTTATTAGGTGTAATCGACCCTCGAAACTAAAACGTGAGCGAAAGGAAACCAACTGATTTATTGAAGGCCATCGCAAAGATATTGGATACATGGTGGGTATTGAGCGCCAGTTACGGAATTCCTTAAGATTAAGCGCGTGATTCATGAAGAAACGGCGTGGGTTCAAAAAGAATGGTAGAGTATAGCCATCACGCTCATTTTTAAAGAATTCGCAGATGAGTTATTTGTCAAACATGAAGACGAATGTATTGTGGCTGATGCCAACATACTACGAGTGGAGCACGTTACTTCAAAGATTAAGCGGCGCAATCGCAAGAAGACACTAAAGAAACTTGAAAAAATCCAGTTCTTCAATGTCTGTGACGAATATTTAGCCTCAAAATCCCGTGTGCTCCCTAAGGTCCTTCCAGAAACTCTTCCCCAATCATGTAGCAACCCTGAAATTTTAAATTTCCTAAGTGTCTTTGTAAACAAGTAAGAGATTTTACTGTGCTCATGGTGCATTGATACAAGAACAAGACAAACCTTTGTTTGGAATTAAGTGGATGAACATTCTTTTGTTCGTAATGTGCCATAAGATAGAGCTTATGTAGTAAATTAATCGTCTAAGTTCTGTCACTTTTGAGTATACTTCTAGAAGTCATTTGTTTTTGTCCTTCCTTTCTCCCGTTCTAAACTAATATGGAGTCATAGAAGTGAGTTATTTGGACAAAGTCTTTTGAATTTATTTAACTCAGCTGAACAGCATTAAGATCCAATGATTAATATAGGTGAGGTTTTTTTTTAATTAGCAACCTCTGCTATCCTTTTGATGCATTTAGATATACTCGTGTACGGGGGCTCTACAATGCTGTATGTATGCTGGTTCTTGTGGTGTGATCGTGTAGGGGCTCGGATATGTTTCACTTTATTCGTTGACAAGACAAGGAGTGTTCATCAATAGTATTCACTTCCTGTCTTTAAGACACCCCTCATGTTCTGTGCCTACTGCAAGAGTTGACCTGCAAACCATGACGTAAAATATTGTCAGTTTGTCGTGTAGCACTGTGTAAATTCATATTAAATACTTCCAGATACCTAGATTGTTTTGTGGATTCAATTGTTTGACAAATCTCATTGTGTTTAATTACTGTTTTATACCAACTTAGACGACAATCTAGATTCCTTTGTCATAGCATGTTATACCTAATCAATAGTTGTATGGTAAGTAATACAAGATATGTAATTAACAATACCTGTCTTATTTCTACTCACATGAACTCGCAGCTGCAATTAAACCCAAACTGTCCAAACAAATGTGTCAGTTAAAACTTATCAGTAAAGTCACCCTTCAATACATAAATCGCCAGGTTTTATACTTTTCAGCTACATCGATGTATTTGACGCCAAGCAGCTACGAAGAAAACTATCGGAGTTCTATGACCCTTCTGCATACTTGACATTCCAGATAGCTCCTTATGTCTGCCAGTCGTCATTGGATAAATGCTCTGACAAAAGTTACAGACCAAAGTACCAACCCCTTTGGGCCACTTATGAACGTTTCGCTGTTAACAGTTTGCCCGGTGGGTTCCCTCTTCCATCATGGGCCTGGTTTGCTATTAAAGAGGAGTCCATGCCTCGAAGATTAAGAGGCCCTAGCTTATCGAAACAGGATAGGAAACTTCTCAAATCATTGAAAGGATATCAAATGGGACACATACAAAGATTGGTATCAGTTACACGCTCAGCTTCTAGCGCTCCTGATCGCTCGATAGCGAACATTCCACTCCCACCAATAGCGCGAATGGAGTGTCGTGGAAGTGATCAGGTTTTGGGTTTGCTTTATCGTTTACCCAATCTTGTACATGTAAGAAGTGACAGGTACTCACATTTGGATGTAATTTGGGTGGAAGTAGGTGAATACATTAAATCTGATTTATTTTAGTTACCTTTGATTTGTGTGCGATACTCATGTATCGCAGCTGAACCGGTACCACAGGATACACGCCCTAGCGACTTGGAAGGCATTTCAGATCAACTGCTAAACATTGCTCCTTTTGGAAGCTATGCCATCCGCTTGGTTTGTCGAATGCTCATATTGCATCAAAGTGGTAAAATTCTTCAGGAAGATTGGTGCGTTACTCCATTGCCAAGTTCACATTTACAGGTGAGTTACATAATCATAGTCCTCTTGCTTTATAAGTACACCGATGCCTCAATTTTTGTTAGTCAAGTTCATTTCGTTTGATTAAACTCTTTCCTAAAATTATCTGGCTGTTGCTTATCCGGATGAGTATATATGGAGCTAATTCCCAACTTCTTGACAGTATTTTTCATTTTAGGGACAAGATAGTGTGCAAATAGTTCGTGTTATTTCGAACACTTTCATTTTTCAAATTGTAGTTATTACCTTAATATTTTTTAGAGAAAGTCTCGCAGTTTGATAATCGTAATTTAATTGATATCAACGTGTTGTGCTCGGTACTGTAAAGAAAGATAACGCTTAGAGATGATATTTGTCAACTCCAAATGAGTGTTATCGTCAAATCTCTAATACTACGGGTATTTTATCCAAACATTTCTACTGGTTTATTATTTTCTGATCCTAGTAATCCGCAAGCACGACACACAGAGGCATTTGACTCTTGTCAAGCTTGCAACAGTGACATCTGGCTGTTTGAGTCGAACTGCTAAATGCAATTCGATATAGAGGCCGAGATATATTTTCACCAATAAAATCATTACTTTCAATCTAGTCTATCATTGTCGCGTGAAAAAAATACGATGCATTAAAACTTTTCTTGGTAGGTCTACTATCGATAAAAGTTACTTTCAAAGTCTAAACTAAGTGTTGAGTTTATTTTCATTTAATTGGACGAATAAAGATTCTGTAATTAGTTTATCCACCCTTTGCTTCATTGATTTCGATGTCAAGTGTAACATCAAAATAAAACTATGCATATCAGTGTAACACCGTTATCTTGTGAGTTCGAAACATGCTTCACTTTGTTATTGGTAATTGGGTAGTATTTGTTTTATTCACACAAATGTATCTCCAAGTTGTGGTACGCAAGCATAAGCCTAATCAGTTACGGTAAGCCTCCAGTGTAGCTAAGATATAAAAATTTTTTCGTAACTTAAAGCCATCACATGATGTTTAGTTCTTCGAACTTTTATCTTACCACTTCAATATTATGTTGCTACTTCAAACAAAGATTCATCAGCCTTTTACTATTGTACTTAGTCCGTCATTCACAACGTAGAACCTGTACGTATGCCGTACTCCATTAGCACATTGAGGTGAAATTCTTAAACCAGATCCAAGAATAGTTAAAGTAAAAACTGTATCAGTGGTAATAGAAAATATCAGACTTGAGAAAATATAAATTGGTGAAATAAAGACAAAAAAGTTATGAGGAATTTAGAAGCCCAGAATTTAGCGAAGACAAAGAAGGGATGCACCTGCGGCATTCCAAACGATTTTGAGCCATGTCATCCAAAGACTATTCATGAGTTACGATAACCCGGGCAGTATCACAGCCCTCACACATACCAAATGAGGTCTGTGTGGCGCATATATATATGTTAAAATAATAATAACACCTATTAGCATAGCTAAGTTCATTTGTCAGAAACTTCAGAGACTGATGTCATGTTTTGGTTTGACCGCCCCTAGTTTTCTTCCAGCCTAATCCTACATCAGAAAATGTCTCCCGTCAAGGTAGGGGGCGGATGGGCACGTAAAACGTTCCAACTACCTCAGTTGATGAAGACTTATTACTTCATCAATCGATTTGCCAGCCTTACCTTGTGTCCTATTCCTAACCCGGTATTGACAACACCGTGGTCTCAAAATACACGAGCAATGCTTCTTAGACACCTATGACCAAATACTACTAATCTACGAATATCCTCTATTTTAAATGACCATGTTTCACATCAATCCAACTGAGATTTCGTCAGACACCAGACGATCAGCACTGATGTGACTCCGAAGACAAGTAAGGCGGTCGATGAGTTCAACTACTTCTCTCCCTATCATTAATCCATGTGATGACGCAAGCCAAGCTGGAACCAACATTTTACACTGCATCCCAAACATGCTTGCATTGTTGCTTACTACTGTACTAAATTCTATTGATCGTACTTCACATTAGAGAGGGATTTAAAAGCTTCTCTTCATCTTCAACTATTTTTGTATATATAACTTACTCATAAAATTCATATTACTATTTTTCAGGAGTGTTCACTAGTTATCACAGAGGCTGTGTCAAATTTTATGACTCCAAAAACATCATCTGCGCTATTATCAACCATCGAAGCAGGTGGTATACCGGACGACTCTGTTTGTTCAAAATTAGTTGATGAGCTTTCCACTGCAACTGGAATGAATAAAGCTTATTCTTTACAATGTTTAACTGAGTGCCAGTTTGATATAGATTCTGCATTACACTCATTTCAAAAAGTACATGAAGCTGGACTTTTACCTGCCGAAGCATTTTCAGTTATTTAACTATTCACATTGTTTTAGTGTTGTATTTTTGGAATTTTTCCCACAGATTTTGTAAATATATTTTTACTTCACTTTCAACATGACGGTATTCAGTTTATTACGTAAATGAGTTTAGATTCTGTTCAACTAGGCTTGGTATTCGGTCTAAAATTTCTGTACATTGTAGCTGGAGTATCAGAAATAACACGTAGTATTAAGTGTTTGTGATCGTTTATAATAGTGGTTCACCAATAAGCAACTAAACTACCAATGGGTCGCACCGTTTGCATCAAATAATTACAAGCCATCTCAGCTTGTGTCCAGTATTTAAGTTATCTTCAAACATCTTATTTAATAAAAGGCACTTATCAAGATCCATAAAATCGTAGTTTACTTAAAAATATAGAAGATTTTTATCATTACCAAACTAAATAGCTGCTGAGATAAGAATATCAGTTACTTCCATCTGCTAGATAAATTATACGGAATAACCATTCAGTGATAAAATTTAGGGAGAAGTCATCTTTAAAACTCTTCTGACTGCTTGTCATTAGGGTTTCAGGACGTCTAAATAATACTTTCACCATAAAAGAGATAGGTTGCGCTTTGTGCCACACATAGTATATCTTGATCCTATCTTGGGAAACGAAATTTCATGAGTGAGATGAGCGCAATATAACTAATCACCTATGGTATCCGCTGTCATTACGAAGTAGTTTTAAATTTTTGCGGTAGAGTTCACTGTTGGATGTCTCACTCTTGATCTAGATTTCAAAGAAGGGTTTGACACTTACGTATATTATTTCTCTAAGTGCGACACATCTATACCCTATCTGCATTGTTCCTTCGGCAATAACATGGGGGCAAAGTACTGCTGTCGAATTATGGCCATGTTCGGTATTATCGCATTTATCTTTGTTGCTATCATAGTACACCTAGTCCAAGAATTTTAGATATTTAATGACGTCACCACCGAGTCTATAAGATCGTACATGGAAGTTATTTCATAGTCTATTCTGACTCATCCTACGTGTCAATCAGCAATGCGATGTTTATCATATGTAAAGAACACTTTTGTGCTGGAGACAGATAATGTATTTGAATGTGAATAGAGATTTGTTACATGGGTGACCACGCCTACAAGGCTGAGTAATGTTTTAACGACCGAGTTCGACATTGTTGACGTGCTCTGAGTGTTACGCATTGAATGCGGATCTCCTCCATAATTATTTGTTCATTTTCGAAGATCATGTGATTGGAAACCAATACCACTACAACGCTTCGAATTGTTTTAAGTTTCTCCATCAATTACTGAGATCCTACTCAAAACTCTGTGAACGTGATCAAAAATCTGGAGTCTTAGTTCAGGACCTAAGCGTTAAGCAGTTGGCTAAAGCAATACTTTTGTAGGCTCCCCCCATCTTTTGCTTACGACTATCAATGTTTTGCCGAAAATTCCACAAGCCTGCTGAGTAATAAACGTTACAATACTTTGTCCTGGTTCGTCACAAAGATATTGAATATTATATTAAGGAACCTATCCAACGATGATCAACCGCACTATCTAGGACTTATTCTCTCTATGCTATGGCCCGCGGCACTTCAAGCACTCTAATGTGCTAAAATGAAAGTAGTTGCTTCACTTCATTTCTTGAGTCAACTTTTGAATTACACATCGAATGATGAACACTCAGATAAATTATACTTTTCCACTGCATACCAAACCTACAGCTAGTGTGACTACGGTCCCTTCAGTGAAATATTTGAAGAGTAAAGTTGATAAATCATGTATGCAGTTATAGTCCACCGTCTCTCTCTTGGAACAACATTCAACTAGGTTTACCAATATCGAAGTGACACTGTAGCGCTTATTCGACCTTCCTACGTCATATCTAGCAATTCGCCTACAAGTACTGCCACTTGAGCCACCTGTTCTCTTCTAACATCTGGTCATATAGTGCTCTTAAATGTATGTCTATTTATGTAGTCAATTAGTTGGCTTCTCTATTTCTCTTACTCCGCACTTTCACTGTATTCCACTTAGATTCTAAATTTTTTATTCTTTTTATTAGGTGTAATCGACCCTCGAAACTAAAACGTGAGCGAAAGGAAACCAACTGATTTATTGAAGGCCATCGCAAAGATATTGGATACATGGTGGGTATTGAGCGCCAGTTACGGAATTCCTTAAGATTAAGCGCGTGATTCATGAAGAAACGGCGTGGGTTCAAAAAGAATGGTAGAGTATAGCCATCACGCTCATTTTTAAAGAATTCGCAGATGAGTTATTTGTCAAACATGAAGACGAATGTATTGTGGCTGATGCCAACATACTACGAGTGGAGCACGTTACTTCAAAGATTAAGCGGCGCAATCGCAAGAAGACACTAAAGAAACTTGAAAAAATCCAGTTCTTCAATGTCTGTGACGAATATTTAGCCTCAAAATCCCGTGTGCTCCCTAAGGTCCTTCCAGAAACTCTTCCCCAATCATGTAGCAACCCTGAAATTTTAAATTTCCTAAGTGTCTTTGTAAACAAGTAAGAGATTTTACTGTGCTCATGGTGCATTGATACAAGAACAAGACAAACCTTTGTTTGGAATTAAGTGGATGAACATTCTTTTGTTCGTAATGTGCCATAAGATAGAGCTTATGTAGTAAATTAATCGTCTAAGTTCTGTCACTTTTGAGTATACTTCTAGAAGTCATTTGTTTTGTCCTTCCTTTCTCCCGTTCTAAACTAATATGGAGTCATAGAAGTGAGTTATTTGGACAAAGTCTTTTGAATTTATTTAACTCAGCTGAACAGCATTAAGATCCAATGATTAATATAGGTGAGGTTTTTTTTTAATTAGCAACCTCTGCTATCCTTTTGATGCATTTAGATATACTCGTGTACGGGGGCTCTACAATGCTGTATGTATGCTGGTTCTTGTGGTGTGATCGTGTAGGGGCTCGGATATGTTTCACTTTATTCGTTGACAAGACAAGGAGTGTTCATCAATAGTATTCACTTCCTGTCTTTAAGACACCCCTCATGTTCTGTGCCTACTGCAAGAGTTGACCTGCAAACCATGACGTAAAATATTGTCAGTTTGTCGTGTAGCACTGTGTAAATTCATATTAAATACTTCCAGATACCTAGATTGTTTTGTGGATTCAATTGTTTGACAAATCTCATTGTGTTTAATTACTGTTTTATACCAACTTAGACGACAATCTAGATTCCTTTGTCATAGTATGTTATACCTAATCAATAGTTGTATGGTAAGTAATACAAGATATGTAATTAACAATACCTGTCTTATTTCTACTCACATTAACTCGCAGCTGCAATTAAACCCAAACTGTCCAAACAAATAAGTTTCAGTTAAAACTTATCAGTAAAGTCACCCTTCAATACATAAATCGCCAGGTTTTATACTTTTCAGCTACATCGATGTATTTGACGCCAAGCAGCTACGAAGAAAACTATCGGAGTTCTATGACCCTTCTGCATACTTGACATTCCAGATAGCTCCTTATGTCTGCCAGTCGTCATTGGATAAATGCTCTGACAAAAGTTACAGACCAAAGTACCAACCCCTTTGGGCCACTTATGAACGTTTCGCTGTTAACAGTTTGCCCGGTGGGTTCCCTCTTCCATCATGGGCCTGGTTTGCTATTAAAGAGGAGTCCATGCCTCGAAGATTAAGAGGCCCTAGCTTATCGAAACAGGATAGGAAACTTCTCAAATCATTGAAAGGATATCAAATGGGACACATACAAAGATTGGTATCAGTTACACGCTCAGCTTCTAGCGCTCCTGATCGCTCGATAGCGAACATTCCACTCCCACCAATAGCGCGAATGGAGTGTCGTGGAAGTGATCAGGTTTTGGGTTTGCTTTATCGTTTACCCAATCTTGTACATGTAAGAAGTGACAGGTACTCACATTTGGATGTAATTTGGGTGGAAGTAGGTGAATACACTAAATCTGATTTATTTTAGTTACCTTTGATTTGTGTGCGATACTCATGTATCGCAGCTGAACCGGTGCCACAGGATACACGCCCTAGCGACTTGCAAGGCATTTCAGATCAACTGCTAAACATTGCTCCTTTTGGAAGCTATGCCATCCGCTTGGTTTGTCGAATGCTCATATTGCATCAAAGTGGTAAAATTCTTCAGGAAGATTGGTGCGTTACTCCATTGCCAAGTTCACATTTACAGGTGAGTTACATAATCATAGTCCTCTTGCTTTATAAGTACACCGATGCCTCAATTTTTGTTAGTCAAATTCATTTCGTTTGATTAAACTCTTTCCTAAAATTATCTGGCTGTTGCTTATCCAGATGAGTATATATGGAGCTAATTCCCAGCTTCTTGACAGTATTTTTTCATTTTAGGGACAAGATAGTGTGCAAATAGTTCGTGTTATTTCGAACACTTTCATTTTTCAAATTGTAGTTATTACCTTAATATTTTTTAGAGAAAGTCTCGCAGTTTGATAATCGTAATTTAATTGATATCAACGTGTTGTGCTCGGTACTGTAAAGAAAGATAACGCTTAGAGATGATATTTGTCAACTCCAAATGAGTGTTATCGTCAAATCTCTAATACTACGGGTATTTTATCCAAACATTACTGGTTTATTATTTTCTGATCCTAGTAATCCGCAAGCACGACACACAGAGGGATTTGACTCTTGTCAAGCTTGCAACAGTGACATCTGGCTGTTTGAGTCGAACTGCTAAATGCAGTTCGATATAGAGGCCGAGATATATTTTAACCAATAAAATCATTTTCAATCTAGTCTATCATTGTCGCGTGAAAAAAATACGATGCATTAAAACTTTTCTTGGTAGGTCTATTATCGATAAAAGTTACTTTCAAAGTCTAAACTAAGTGTTGAGTTTATTTTCATTTAATTCGACGAATAAAGATTCTGTAATTAGTTTATCCACCCTTTGCTTCATTGATTTCGATGTCAAGTGTAACATCAAAATAAAACTATGCATATCAGTGTAACACCGTTATCTTGTGGGTTCGAAACATGCTTCACTTTGTTATTGGTGATTGGGTAGTATTTGTTTTATTCACACAAATGTATCTCC